GATCTGGTGGTTCATAATTCAACATATTAAACTATGTCGAGAGCGTGCACAATTTCCAACCGTTTATGCGAATCATCCGATAAACCCTGTATTTAAAACCGACACAATGCTCAAGTAATAATAATGAGTAATGATAATAATTTGAGGTTCTTATATACCGCTTTATCACAACATAGTTCGTAGGTCGTCTCAAAGCGGTTGACAAATTATTATCCGTGGTTATAAGTCCTTTGCAACCAGCCAATATCTTTTCCAACTCTATGGGGAGCATAATGCCGGTGCTGCCATCTCGGCGCTCAAAGCTAGCATTCTACAATTCTAGCACTGCCCAACCACGTACTCATTTCAGGCTGAGTAGACTGTAACAAGCGGAGTGAAGTATCTTGCTCAAAGATACAACACAGTGCCGTGCCGTGACTCGAACCCGCAACCCTTCGGTCACGAGGCCGGCGTCCTACCACTAGACTACCGTGTCTCCTATGGCGCGGGATTGATAGAATTAACATGTTAAGGATCCCTGTCCCATTGCACTATCGGTTTGCGTATATACAGAAACCTCCCCTTAATTTCGGCTTTGCTGTAACCGTAGTACACTTTAGCCAGAACAGTTCCGTTGACCAGGTAGCTCAGAGTGATAGTCCATCCACATGAGGTCCACTGTACGAATCCGAATCTACCTCACTCACCTTTTCACCCTCAGAACATTGTTGTTAATTATATTTGTTTATTTCATCTTAACTATTTTTCATAAACTATATAATTGCTTTTCAGCAATGATTTATCAAAGTTTTGATCATGCCTGAACAAAGGTTTTAAATCCGTAATTACATTTTATAACCCTTAAATCAAAATAACTACAATGATTGGCTTTTATTCTTTTGATGTCATAGGAACGATCTTATTCCCATAAAAAGGAAATTAACATTTTACAATGACATTTTCATTAGTCAAAACAATGTTCAAAAATAAAAGAGTTTTAGACATATATTTCATTGTTTACGTGTACAGGTATGGAGAAACTAATCTATCATACCAAACATATGGCTGAAAAAAATACAGCTGAAAGCGGAAAAAAAGGAGAAAAAAAAAATGTCATCCGTCGTTTTATATTCAATAATAACAATAATGAAATTATAAAATATGTATGTTTACCGGATTCCTGTTATCGATTTACGTACGGTGACTCCACTGTTCGATGTGATTTTTAAATTAATGTAATACCGTAACAAAAGGGATTAAAAATAACATTAAACTTCCTTGTCCTGGAAATATTGCTGCAGTTTCAGTAGGCGAACCTGGAGCATCGCTTAGAACAGGATTTTTAATTCGCATACTTTAAGTTATCTCACAGATCATTTTCGTTCAGTAAACTTAAAGTTACTCAAAGGAACGTTTCAGACGTCAGTTAGTCTTACGCAAAGCCAATACAAGCACTGAATATATTTAGAAACCGATTGATCATGAACTCCCGAGCGGATGCCTGTGTATTGGTTCTGATGATCTCTGCGTCACTTCAAAGTAAGTAAACCTTATCATTTGTAGTAAAACTCAGCGATGTAGCACCTTTATATAGTATATTTGAAAAGATTGAGTTGAAAATTTCATAAGAGAAATCCATACCTTTGCGAACTGTAATGAACTAATAATGAAGATGAAATAAAGCAAAATCAGCGTTAGTGCTTTGTGTATGCATTTTTTTTAGTGTTTTACCTGCACTGGGACAGGCATCACTAATGTATTCTGCAAAACTAGTAAAATATGTATACATATGATATTTAAAGTTAATCCATTAACAATTCTGTCAATAGCATATTTGCGGCCCAATTTCTTTTTATATTCCACGATAATGCACCAGTCAGGATCCGTCATTGGCGTGATTTTCTATAAAGTGCATATACAACGGTTAACAAATAACGCTTTAGTCGATACAGTAATCTTTTTACAGATAAAGAAAACATGTAATGTGCTGAATAGGAGACGATCAAAATAAACAGATACCTTCCTTTTATAAGGTAGATAAGCTTAAAATACATTCACGTTGATGGCACCTACGTCGTTCTACGTGTAAAAGTGAAGGCATTAACAGAAACAGTATGACAAATATAAATTCCACTACAGTCTCAATACATAATTAAGAAGACAATCTTGCACAAAAATCATGAACACTCTTTCATAATACCAAAATCATTTAAGCCTTAGTATTGAACTTTTGTACTTATCATAAAGGCAAGATCTGACTGAAAACGCCAAGGTTAAATTTCGTCATATATGTCGCTCTGCCTCAATAACGTTTATATCCATAATGGATTGGTTTTGTGGAGGACGTTCTTATTAGAAATTAAACGTCATTACCTTTCTGATGTCGTTAATGAATGAGTTTAAAAAAATCAAGTCGATTTTTTTATAATGTATTAGTTAATTTGTATCCTAAGCATCAATTGTTTATTTCGTGGTAAAGGCAAAAAATAAGAAAATGACGATATAAAAAAGATGATGAAAACATGAGGTAGAAGGTGTACTTCAGAAGTCGCGACACAAGGTATCACGTTTTTCGTTAAGGAATATCCGTATATATACAATGTAAATAAATGCCCAGATTGGTATTTCATAACGCATTTACATGTATAGACATTTCAAGTAAAATGAGGTTATTTTGATTAATATAATGTTTTACCGCGTTTACCACATGTTAATATTCTGTGAACCACATGTTTAAACTTTGTGCAATGTCGAATTTCTCGTGGTATTCAATAAAACCAGAAAAAACAAATTTATATTTGCTCATCTTATCTTCGTATCACTGTAGCTTTATTTTTGCAAATTTTATGCCGCTTTTCAAAAAAATGTATGCTTCCCCAAAAAATATATTCGGGAAGCACATAGTCGACGTTGTGTCTGACCGTTCACAAGTCCAATTTTTTACGGGCCATAACTTCTGACTCGCTGAAGATAATGAAATTGTTGGAGTATGTGTAGGATGGCAAGGCGGTGTGTCGCATATCACTCTAAAGTCCGTATACCAAACGTCAAGGTCTTATTAGGTCAAAGGTCAAATTCACTGTCCAGACCATAAGTTTTGATTTTCCTAATGAAGCTCAATGAATTGTTATGGATATTTGTCGGATGGAAATCCCATATTTAACATATCACTTTCGTGTCTGTTTGTCCAAGGTCAAAGTCGCATTGTGGACACACTTTTCCTATCTTAGTGTTGGCGACCTTTTGGGGAGTGTTAATCTTGTTGATAACCAAACCCATTAAGGAAATGACCCGTTGGATAGTGGTATAGCCATAATGTGACATAGGTCTTTAGTTTTTATACACTGTAAGCCATCGATAGGGATAAAACCAGGAACTTCCACTTTACTATCCGGTTCATCTGGTTTATTAGCCTTGTCCATCGCTCTGCATAACTAAATAAATGTCTTGGATTCACATACTGATCTGATTAAGCATCGCCATGATGCAACGAAACGCACCACAAGGCTGTTTGATGAGAATAGTTTAAAAAAATATCGAACATAGTACCACTGTAGTCGGAAGAACAGGAAGTAATTTAATATAATGTGTGCCATTTGCTTCTTACCCACATCCAACACTTACATTTGTACTTACAACTGTATGGTACACTGTAATATATTTTTCTGACATAACATATCCAAAATGTAAAGGTACGAACAGATGTGCGTGTCTTACGTTCATCTTTGTAATCCTATGCCATTCCTAACTGTAATGCCATCTGAAAGCAGTCCGATGCTTTTATTTACATTACATATTTTCAATTGCTCCCTATCGATAAAAAGGCAACTAATGTTGGAATCTCCTGCAGAATTTGGTATTTGTCTTTGTGATCGAAACCCAATAGTATCGCTGTTGATTAAAATATCTTCTGTGCAACCCTGGAATATGTCATAACAAATTTAAAGTGTTTTCGGGTTACAACTTGCATATAATACAAGTAGGCTAGTCTCATGTCTTTGATGAAGATCAAATGAATCGCGAGGCAGGGTTAACGATAAAATCGGCAGGTTATGATGTTGGGTGTGGCTCCTCATTATCACGAAATTTCGATTTATTTAAGAAAAAGATTCAGGAATGCAGAGAGGAAATGAGTGTTGACAGCAGAACCTTTGAATTTCGCAGACAGAATTGATAAATGCAATGTTGATTTATCCATATTACAACGACAACGAGTAGGGTTTTCCAAGTAAATATTATGCAGTCATATTGGCCGGGATAGAAGTTGTGCAGATGGTCTTAATACGAGTAGAAACAGGATTACCAAGGAAAAACCCTACTTGTCGAGCTGGTGACCAACATACTTTGCAATGTCTGCTCGGGGAATTGAATCCCGGCCATTTTAGTTAAAGACGAGTACGCTATCTTTTTCGCGCCGCCCGATAGTCATGGAAGATTCATGTCTACAAGTTTTATTTCACCCCATTTTGTCATTTTGTATTGCAGAGAGATTGACGGCAGATTTCTTTGAAAGCACTACTGTGATGAACTGGTTTGATGCAAACGTTTATTGCAATGATCGTAATGGCAGTCTAATTCTGCTTAACAAACAGAACAACAAGAACGAGCTTTTTCCTGGTATAAGGCAAGTGTATCACTTCAAATTTAGATATTTCCTTTTCTTAATTACGTCACTGTAGCCTGACTTTCGTTTTGTAATGCAGCATTGTTCGGCTACAAGGAAGCGCCAATTTTGTATATTATAAATGATTCCATAGAAATAACGTTTTTTCGCAGTAATGCGTCAGTAATAAGACTGACGGTGTTATTGATAGTAAAATTGGTATATAAACAAAACTCCCTAACCTATTATATGCCCCTGTACTACTTACTGTAGGTGGATTATGTACAACTTATGACGAGATCGTAACTCTTCGTATCTGAATTTATAAAAAATTATTGATCGGTTCAATTTCAGACATAACACATTTTATTGGACTGCTTTAAGATTGAATTCATCATATCCGTGTAAAGAAGATGGAATGTGGTCATACGATGGATGGGCTAATTGGAAAGAACATGAAAAGGAACCAAACCAGAGCCCTTGTGAGGCATGTGTTGTCGTAAAGCATTTTAAAATGAGAATAAAGAGCTGTGGTGACCTGTTTGCAGCTCTTTGTAGAAAAGGTACTTTTATCCGATGCAAATATAATCATTAGTTGACATCATACATATTTTGATTTATCATCGTCCTTAAGGCCCATTAACACCTGGACCTTTTATTGGGCTACACGATATTAAATACTAAACTATTAATGTACGGTAATAGTGGCACTGAAGTAAAAATATATCACATATATTTTAGTGAGACCCAGCGGGCCTATAATTTATCTTGCCTGCAAATGAAGGTCAACTGATAATAGGAAAATGTGCATAAAAGTAGTCAGTTGTATTATTTTTATTTATTCACCGATCTATCTATCTATCTATCTACCTATCTACCTATCTATTTATTTTAGTGTAGTGATAGACACGGTAAAATGTCTGTCACGATCTTGTTATTGTGCAACCTCAAAATTCAAGAGATTTCGCTGTCTTACCTTATCTGCACCACTGGAATATTTCTTGCAAAAGTAAAGACTCTGAACTTTTGCAGGTGATACAAGTTGACTAGAATGATCTTAAATCATAAGAATCGTTATTATTGGAACACTTTTGATTATGGTTCAAAACTGATAATATTCTATCCATATAATGCTGGTTTAGTCAAGTTAAACAGCAATGAAAAATATGCTTTTAAATTTCGAATGTATCTGTCCTATTTGAATTCTAAAATATCGTTGAGGAATTCACAAAAGATAAACATGTTGTTCATATTATATTATTAGATTAGCATTCTGTTAATATTGATTTTTGTATTAAAAATCCCCTTCTCAATTTTAGATGTTCCAACTACGACACAAAGAACATACTCATCTGTAGCAACGCCATGTGTCAAGACCACAACACAAAGCACACACTCAGATGTAGTGACGTCAGATGTCACGACCACGACACAAAGCACACACTCAGATGTAGTGACGTCTGATGTCAAGACCACGACACAAAACACACACTCGGCTGAAGTGACGTCCGATGTCAGGACCACGACACAAAGCACACACTCAGATGAAGTGACGTCAGATGTCAGGACCACGACACAAAGCACACACTCAGATGAAGTGACGTCAGATGTCAAGACCACGACACAAAGCACACACTCAGATGAAGTGACGTCAGATGTCAAGACCACGACACAAAGCACACACTCAGCTGGAGCAACGGCTGTTGTCCCGACGATGTCTACCAATGTTGTGCCCACAGCTTACAATAACACTCTGGTTGATGGTAGTTGTGAAGAGTGTTGTGTCAAAAACAACAAGAGCAGACAACTCAGTCATGAAGAGTTGAAAAGTGTCATCAAAGAATTGAAATCTCAGCTGGCTGTAAACAAAAACAACTTGTCCACAAACCGCCGGAAACTCATCAGTGTTTACGACTCTCGGCCAAGCAGTGTCGCCATGGGAGGTGTGGCTATAGCCATTATGATTGTAATCCCCGGTATCATCGTTATCCCAGACATGGTCAACCTTGTCAGGTTCATGTACAGACGGCAAAAGAAACACTTACTCTAGACAGACGAGGGGAGACAACACTCGCAGAAACTCTAGCAGTTTCAAAAAAAAAGAGGACACACGGAAGAATAGAGAGAGCTTGAGACGCAGAAAGACTACGTTTGAGTCCTTTGCTGATTTTTCATATAAAAGAATCCCTCTACATTGGCTTTTTTAAATAAAAATGATTTTAACAGCAATATTTATTATTTTATCTTCAATGCCGGTTATATGGCACCAGTGATATGGTGTTTATTATGACCTCAACGTATCCGGAACCTCAACACTTTTGTGTAAAACTACATTTTTTATGCTTTGAAATAGCAACTTCGATTACAAATGTACAAGTTGTTGATATGAACTTGACTTCTACTTAACATTTTTCCAGTTGGTTAATATTTGTGTTTCTGTTTTGTTTTGTTTTCTTTTTTTGCCGATACAAATACAACTTCAAATGTGATCTTTTACTGCCCCTGAATAGGTAAAACTCTAGAACATTCTAATGTAGTTTAACATACAGCTACTNGACTTCTACTTAATAATTTTCCAGTTGGTTAATATTTTTGTTTCTGTTTTGTTTTGTTTTTCTTTTTTTGCCGATACAAATACAACTTCAAATGTGATCTTATACTGCCCCTGAATAGGTAAAACTCTAGAACATTCTAATGTAGTTTAACATACAGCTACTGAAAACCGGCATGAAAAATAATAAAAAGGAAATAAATAAAAGAGTAAAATCAGTGTGGCTATCGGTGGATTCGAACACTGAAACTCAGATTGTTACCATCTAACTATCCAACCAGCTTCCTGGTCAATAGAAGTAACCTTGCCCAAATATTGCTGCTATAATATCCAAAAAGAAATTCAGAGTAACTTACTGCAACATACATTAAACCAAAGTGCAGTTTTAATTTTGGATATACATCTACCTTCAGTACGGCTGGGCCAGGAAGCGCAGTATGTTCGAACGATGGTATTATGATTTGAGGTTGAGGGTTCGAATCCTTCTCTGGCTTCATTCCATTCTCCCTCTTTAGTGTTTTCGTTTTTTTAAAGACGGTCCGATTGGTGTGGTTTTCTTTAAAAAAAAAATATTATGTCAGAGCTGTAGCCATGCCGGGAACTTTGATATTACATATTTCCAAACTTATGAATTTTATTGAAGGAGAATTGTGAGTGTTATTTCTTGATCAGACTTTTGTGTAGTAAATTGTCACTGAAACTGTGTGTCACACCACAATAAAAGATAACTTAAAAGGTATATACATCTGCAGTACGACAATCACGTGCAGTATCACATGGGATAAGGCTATTATTTAGGGAAAATTACGTATAACAACAAAGCTAAACACAAATTAACCTTCGTATTTAGATAGTTATGAATTTGCGGCGATTCATTCTTTCAAGAAGCATATGTGAAACAGGATGTTACAGCAAAAGGACATTAAAAGTAAACAAAACCAAAATATATTAATGCAGTGATATGAATTGGAAATCAACATTTCATTACGAAAAGTAATTTACGAAAATACGAAAGGAATCTTTTTATTAGGAAAATACTTATATATAGCTCATAGGCTAGAGATAATAGAGTGTAGAACGTTACATGTTTGTTAACGATATGTACGCTATAAGAAATACTAATGCAAAATATAACTGCAATATACAATATCTGATACCAAAAAAATCAGATATCATCACCGTAATGTATACTGTTGTATCAGTTGCAAGCGTTAAATTAAGCGTGGCAATCATAAAAATGTTGAGAAACAAATGAAAACTAAATCAATAAAAAGTAAACCCTATCCGATACATAGTTAATAAAAATTCAGAACTGTTCTGCTTCTCACATATCACAAACAATGACATGTACATTAGACAATACAGTGTATCTTATAACGTCGAAAAAATGCAATATGCTGCATGTGGATGAAACTAGCACAAAGCTCAATATCAGAGTCAACAACCACCGCTGTTCAGTTATGCAGAACAAACGGGATTTCTCTCTGACACGGCACTTTGATCAACCAATGGTCGAAAAGACACGCAGGTGGTTGCCATAGAGCATTGCCCACCATGGAATGAATCGAGACGGCGCTCGAGATAAGTACTGGATAACCAACCTACAATCCCGTTTCCCACGAGGTTTGAACAAGCGATAAGAATTTGTCTCCATTCCCAGAAGTTATTTGACTAAATGGTTCATTGATATTGGTCTGCTGGCTCACATGTCTGCTGCTACTTGTCAGTGTATGAGACTTACATACGATGTCGGATTAAGTGGACGAAATGTCTGTTGCTTAGTGTGTTGTACATTTTTTTCCATTTCGTTACTTAGTTGTACTTATTTATCTTACCCTCACTACATTTGATAAACAAATATTTCGTCAAATTCCACACCATATTCAAATTCATCATCAGTATTTGATTCGTCGTATCATTTTCTTTTCAGCTTCAGCATCTTTCTTCACGCTTCAATTTTCCTGGCACATTATCATATATTTGTCGTTGTTTCCAAACACACAGTATCATTGTAAGTGTTAACTCTACCTTTAGCTTACACTAGCCGAGAGGTTTATCGTTTTTAAATATTTGTTATAACCTTACTATATTTTTATTTTGCATTTATATAATGTGCATGTTCTCTGTTTTTCTGTGTCCCGATAAAGGAGCGGACTCCACGAAAACTTGACAACCTCATACATGTACTTTTAAATTGTTTGAATTACAATATAAAATACAAAAATGGCATTGAAGTCCGTGTGTTGGAAAAATAATACATATTTATCCATTTACATATATAATTAAGTTTAAAATTCTGGATTATTCTGAACCAACATTTTATATAATTATATTGGATATGTCTATATAATTTCCTTACTTTGGATGTTGCTTGATTCGTTTAAGGATTTTGGTTATATGGTGCCATCTCGCACCAGGAGGGATATTTTAAAAGTGCACAACACGAACATTTCACATAATAGACATAGAAGCCCAGGCAAATCGCTCAGTCTTCTCTGACAACAGGAACATTTTAGGTACTTAAGAGACAATCTTAAACGATGAATAATAACAAGTGTAGCAAAAATCGAAAAAATATGAGAAGTGTTGCAAAGGGGTACACATATGCTGTACAGAATAGGATTGCACAATCCCAGAACCTGAAGGGGAATTTGGTCAACGCTGTCAAATGTATAGGATGATTGTATACACGATAGGAAGGTAGTCTTTGGCTATGAGTCAATTAATTGCCAATTTTCCAATCACTTTTATTCTTAATTGAACTATTTTAAGACAAATAACCATGGACAGGAACGTTATACATCTATAACACAATGAGCTTTTTAATTATACCTGTTGGCTACGCTGTTTCAGGACTAATATCAATATATTTACAGTTTTCATTGTATGTAACTCTATAACGTCTGTTAGACATGGTCTCATTGACGGTCGATAACACTAATTGATCTCGCGCAGCGCATAGTGACTCATACAGTCACGTTGGGGATTCCCTGTTGCTACTTTCGGATGTAAACACTGAATGGGTTGACGAAGTGCTCAGTATAAATACGATATGATACATCACTCAGAAACAGGCTATTAGCTCTACACTTTTCTACGTAGCGAATACAAACACAACACATTATAAATGTACAAGCAAAATTGCGGTTCGTAAGCATCAATCGCATAGTTCCTCAAAGCTTTACCGTATCACAGTTTTGATTGGAGTTTAAGTTACAACAAAATCAAGTCCATTTAGAATTCCGATTGTAACGCTTAAGATCGAATGAAAATGGTTTTCTTTTGATCAGACGTTTTTATTCAGAATACATATTCTAAATTGCAAACAATTCTTACGATACAAAAATATGTAAAACATTGTGAATGACCATTTGTTCTGTTGCTATGGTATCGAACACAATGTTGTTATCCCTCAATAACATAAACATATATCAAGTTGATCCTTAAGATACAAGCATTGTCCTTGCTAACAAACTAACATACAACCATGCGTTTTAATGACCATAAACCATTTGCTAACATATTCATATTTATTTTTTCTTATTAGTAACACGTGTGTAACTACATAATTATGCAGTTAAGACGTTCAAATCATCCATATTTTCCACTTTGAGCATGCTATTGACACCAGGATGTCATCATTTCTAATGAAAACATATTAGTATTCTTAAAACACTGTGGTATCTATGCATGGTGTAGTGTTTTAATCAGTTATTTTGTTGATACATGTAATTCTAGCTTTAGCGGCCATGACAATGGTATCCTTTCCTTAGAATGCTGTTTTAAACTGACACGCAATAATAGTTCATAGTAGTCTTGATACTTTGCTCAGTCGTATCATCATGACAACCAGTTTCGAGAGAATGTTAGGGGAACATCCCCTTAAACAAAGTTAGATATGAGAAGACAAAATCAGATAACAAGTGTATGAAACACGTTGCGCTAGATAATATTGCAAAATCACCAAACCTACATCGAGTTTGTTCAACGCTAACAAATATAATTGTCTTTGAGCATGCATAACTATACATAATAGGAAAACAAAGTTTGTTTATATTAAGGGATAACACATTTGTTAATCACTTTCTAGATTTAATTAAATCATTCTAAAGACAAAAAAAAAGAACATAATTCCAAAAAAGAAATTTACAATAATTTCCTATATATACCGATTTGCTACGCAGGTTCAGACAAGATGCTCACCAGAATGACGTCAACTCTAAAGTAGAGGGTCCATAATTTTAATCAGTTTCAAATGTAAATGGGCTAGAATCTAAAAGTCAGAAAATTGCCGAAAAATATATCTTATTGTACACCATTTCACCATCTGCCAACACTACACATTTGTTACTTAAGTATTTTTTTAGTTACACCTGGACGTGCGTTATCACACTGTGTGATCCCTTTACCCCTTTCGGGAATTAATAAACTCGGTCAAAGAGTTTATAAACGAAATAGTCCACAAATTCTTACCCTTTAATTGAGTCCGATAAACCATATGTTCATACCGCACATAATTCTCAGAGTGGCACTTGAAAAATAAACAAAACTAATTTAGAAAATGTGGTATGTTAACATTTTGATTAAATTAAATTTACTACAATACATTGCTTAACTTATTTCTATGTTATTATTACAATCTTATTTCTGTGCAAAGAACATTACAGTTTACAATTATCTTTTTCTTGAACGAAACGTATGTTAGAAATAATGAAATCCAAAATCCTTAGTTGTTGGCTATATGTCGTAGCTTCGTTATATAGATGTTGGTTATGTATAAAGGTATGCAGAAATTAGTTATTAGTCCACTACTTATAACCATGTACAATAGAATAAAATAATCCATTTTGCTTGATACAACTTAAGTAAATTATAAAACATATATCTTAATCCACTTCCGCTTAGGGCGACACCGCCGTTCGATGTGTATTTTTTTTAATAATATACATCGGCATCAGATAAGAAAGAAAAAAAGGTCAAATACAATTTTTAGCATTTTAATGAATTGTTTGCACGTCCGTTGCTTGGTAATAATTTCTCATTGTACTACTGTGCTGATTACTCCAATTTCAGTTGGCGAACCGGGGGCTTTTGCAAAGAACAGCATTTGCCATCCAAAAAGTATACCTATTTCACGGCACATTTTCTGTCCGTAAATAAACAGCGTTTTCCTGTGGAAGTTTTCATAAGTCAATAAGTCTAATGATAAGCAAATGCAAGCACTGAGTACATTTAGAAACCCACAGATCATGAATTCCCGGATGGATGTCCTTGTGTTGGTTCTGGTGACATACCTCAACGTGAGTATTTACAGTAAAACTTAGCTTTATTGCACCTTTATGTAGTACATTTAAAAATATTGAGTTGAGAATAACAGAGGGTTTTTCTTGTATCTCTATAAATACCATTTATAGAAAAAACAAACTTTGAAGTATTAAAAGAACGAGCATGATCTATTTATAACAAAATAAAAGTAAAACATATCACTGATTCAATATACGATAAGCTGTCTTTGAAATGATGCAATAAATGACGTGACACTCGCCTATCACAATGAAAATTGCCTTTTCTGTCAGTTATATTTTTTTACACTTTAATAATAACATCTTTATTTCCACAACAACACTTTTATGTTTATATATGTTTTCTGAATATTCGTTAAATTCTGTTAATGCTGTTAATTTTTTCTTTTCACGCATTAAATAAATAACAATTAAGATTAAAATGCATCACAAAATTGGAACTATAAATGAGAACTTTTTGAATACATCTTTAATTAATGGTCTCATGAGAATAAACCATCCTTTGTCAGGTCTGATCGGGGAATTGCACCCAGGCCGTTTTGGTGAAAGACGTGTACCCTTTCTCTTTCGAGTAGTCCCATACTCATAGCAGATTCAAGTCGTCTACAAGTTTCAGTTCACCTAACTGTGTTTTTTTGTATATCAGTGGGATTGACGTAATCAACAGATTGCTTCATTAGCACTACTGAGTTTAAGTGTTGTGAATCCAGCGGTTATTGCAATGATCATAATGGCAGCCTCATTCTACTTAACAGACATGACCGATGACCGATGGAATGACATTTGCTCTTATTCAAGGGAATCACCCCAAATGTAAACGTTTCCATTACTTTGTTGTTGTTGTTTGAATTACGTCACTGTAGTAAAACCATCACAGCAAATTGCATTAGGACGTGCTAAGGACAAATGTAATCTCTCGCCAAGATAGGGGAATCTTAACCCGAGGGGGAAGATTCTTTCCCCGAGGGTTGAGATTTTCCTATCGCACTCACAAGGGGGTGAATTATTTTTTTCCTACCCTGTTCTCCCACTGTGTATCATATATACAATGTAATAATAACGTTATATGCTAAATTCAGGGTTGACGTGACGTCATTGTATTGTTGACGTGACTTCATTATATTGTTGAATTGACGTCATACCATTGTTATGAACAGAGGAATCCCCCGTCTTAACCCTACTAGGGTGAGACAAGGAAATCTCGCATCGGTTAAAGTGCGGATACACTTGTCCAGGGTAAGAGAAAACTACTTCCCAAATGTGTACATAATACTATTTAGTATCTATGTATATCACTTTATCATTCCTTTTTCCAATGCAGCATGGATTGGTTATTGGGAAACGCCAATTTTTATATTATGAATGAGTTCATACGAAGAAAGTTTTAGTTGGTGTTATGCGTCAGTGATAAGACTGACGGTGATACTGATAATAAATTGTTTAATAATTCAAATGCTTAACCTATCAGCTATTTCTGTACTAGGAGGATTATGTACAACTAATGAATGTATAAAAGTCTATTGATAGGACTTTTACAGATGCTCAACTTTGTATTGGACAGCTTTAAGATTAACTTCATCATATCAGTGTCAATTTGACGAAACGTGGTCTTACGATGGATGGGCAAAATACGGGTGTCATGATCATGCACGTGTTGTGGTGAATGTAGGTAGAATGAGAACAATGAATTGTGATGACAAGTATACAGCTCTTTGTAGAAAAGATACTTTTATCCGATGCATATTTGATAATTGACATACATATATTAGTTCATTAATGTGTCAAAGGTCCAGCAACACCTGAATTTTGTATTGGGCTACACGATATTCAAAATTAAACGTCTTAAATGTATCTCGTTCATCTTATATGCGACAATATGTCAGATAATTTATAATCTAACAGCTGTATATTGTAATTACTTAATATCCAAAAAAGCTGGAGGTTTTGACCATTGATTTATTGATGTTCGGTGAGGTAGTACATGTATATTACGTTGAAATCTTTTCATTATATCAAACGTTGTTTTTATATCTGTTTTTCTCAATTAAATAGATAAATAAAAAAAGGAAACAAACACTTTGATCATAGATTGAAAACATATATAAATACATATGAATCATCTAGTACTTTGACGAAAAACAAATTGGCATGCAGTATATGTATGTCATTACATGAAACATTGTTTAAAATAGCACCAATACAATATCTAGACGTTTTTTCAACACCAAAATCTGTTTCTGAAATAAACGAAATACATTAGTACAAGAATTACTCAGCAGATTTCAAAATAATTTCAACACATAAATCACCACAACACAAACACAGACGAATGTTTTGTTTAAAATATTGCTTGTATTTATAACATAAAAACAGAACAGTTACCACTGTTTACTTGATATAGCATTCAATTTAGTGATTCTCTCCTCCGACTTTACTATCAGCAGTTCACTAATCAAACAGTATTGTCCAAGAAAATGACAAATGACGCGTTTGAAACATGTGTGTTAGTATTTAGCAATTTGTCAGGCAGAACAGTGAAGCGTTGAACTGGTTTAACGTGGTTGTGACTTTGAAGATCGACATGGCATTCCCGGTAGACCTGACCTTTTCTTGAACTTCACTGTGACCACAGCCTTATCTGAAGCGACAAGTCCTATTATATAAATATATATGTTCTATAACACAACTGTAAAAAATACAACTTGATAATTTAACTTACCAACACCCGTCAGTATTAAAACCTTACCTTACCTACAACCGACTTTACCAACAAAATAATTTACTTTTTACAACCGCCTTTACCGACACCCTAACTCACCAACACCATACTTCAACGACATCTTACCCTACCGACACTGTTTTTAACCTACACGTGACTTTATCGACACTTTAACTGACCGATACCCGCTTTCACCAATACGGTAGCTTACAAACACCCTAACTTGCCGACACATTATCTTACTGACACCCGTCATTACCGACACCTTAAATTAGCGATACCCAAATTTACCTACACCGTAAATTACTTACATTCAACTTAATCGACACCTCTCGTCACCGACACCTCTCATTACCTACACATCTACCTTCTTTCTGCCGTCTTTACCAATTGCTTCATTACTTAAACCTGACTTAACAAACAACTAAACTTACCGACACCCGTCTTTACCGACACATTGACTTACTTAACCGACGATATAACTTACCGACAACCGTCATAACCGACAACTACCTTATCATCACCTGTCTTTACCAACACTTTGCCTTACTTAGATTTGACTTAACCAGCACCATACCTTACCGACCACTTGTCTTAACCGACACTTTAGATCACTGGCACCAGACTTAACCGACACATTAACTTACTTACACTCGCATTTACCGACACCCAAACGTAAAGTACTAATTTCCGATTTAACCAACATTTTATCTTACAGACACCCGACTTAACTAACACTTAAACTTACCGACACCTCACTTAACTGACACGATACTTACTTGTTGCCTTACCCGCAACCGATTTAACTGACAGCTGACTTTAAGAACATTATGTTATGTCTGAATATATTGATTTAATACACTGGTTTCAATGTCGATAATTCTGCTATTACTGACACGCTGTTGTTTCGAAGATTAAATAGCTAATGCTATCTAAAAGTTCTTGCTCACGGTGATTTTTACCTGTCATTGGAAATGTAACAAATTTATTGTTTTATATATATATATTTAATATTTTTATATTTGATGGTGTTATTACACTGAAAATTTTACAGATTGTATGCTAAATGCAAGCTCTCTAACTAACATTGATGTACATGTAAGAAATAAGAAAGCACTAAAATGTGTTCAAAAGTACAATGTGAATCGTATTATTCATGTATAAGATTTGAAGTAGCTACATTTTTGTCTTAACAGTGCTAGACTTTGGACATTAAGATTTGTTTGCTCTGGTAACGTATATATGTTCGTTGTTTTCACACTTCATGAATTGATAAACTTGAATAGCAGCTTTGTTTGTTTTAGTTTATTTTCATATTTGTATAGTGAGAACTCTTTAAATGTTGCTTATTTGAAAGCAATTATTAACTGTACACGTAAGAAATACAGAAAAGGCCATGAATACAAAATAATTAAAAATCAAAAACGTTAAGAATTAAACATGTACAAATCATCGACCAATCCAAAGATGGAAGATTAAGGGCAGATTAAATTTTTGATCGGAATTTCTTTTTCTTTTCATATATTGCTATAAATATGATTTTAACTTACTAGCAAAAAGAGGTGATGAATTCGATTAGATCTGCAACCAGAGTCAAAAACAACTTTATCAACAACAGGTTGATGTTTTGTCCGTCTCATCAATGATGTGTGTAAATGTCCATGTAAATTGCTGCAACTGTACTAGAGGAGAGGAATTAATATAAGCTTATAGCTTGTTTTCCGATCCTCATTGTATCTGTACTGTATTGTAATGTAGTGTGCAAGTGATGAAATAAAATATTGTTTAGACTAACAACAGGAGAAAACAAAAAGGGTATGACTCGATCTGAAATCCATACATCTAGGCCAAATATGGGAAAAGAAAACCAAAGATAGAAATGTAATACGATTACTTGTTCCACAAGGGTAAGCGCCTTCTGCGTCGATGACAATTCCTGTTATATTATCGTTTACCATTGAAGTCACCGCTACCAGTTACTGCGTCACTGAAACGAAATTGATTTAAGTTATTTTGTATTGGTCAATATTTCCATTTTTTTGAAAAAACTATTTGCAATTGATGGCAAGTTTCTTTCGGAAATAGACATTCGATGCCATTGTTTTCTTCAGGCATAGAAAAAATTTGGAGGCAAATCGGTTACATTCGAACGATATGTCATACTTTGAAAACCAGTTAGTTAAAAAGTATGAAAATATTTTTAGATAATCATGTGCAAACATATCATTCAGTATGTGAAATTTTGCGAGAATTGCGACACATTTAGCAAAAGGAAACTCAAGTGAAAATAGGAAGAAATGCATAAAATGTAGAAAAAAGGATTAGGGCAAATCGTGATCACTTTTTGCATGATGATGTTCAATGCATATTTTTATAATTACTTTTTCGGAATCCTGAGATTTGTTTTGAATGTGCGCTTTAGATTTTTGTTGAAATTGAACCGTTCTCGAGCAGGTACATCATAAATATATGCGCGAAAATAGCAGCGACAGACAAACGGACACAGTCCCAAACTAGAACCCCTCGTTTGTTTCGAAAAGTGGGAGTATAAACATCGTGTAGAATCTGTTATTTGTATCCGAGTGAATTGTTTTAAGGATAGGTGTGGATTTTTCAAAGAGTTGTTTCCCTTGTGTAGGCTTACAATAAAAAGATGTTTAATCTTTTGTCACCTCCATGTGACGGTTATTATGATAAGATAAGAGTTATATGTGTTTAAATGCATTGTTATCTATTGTATAGAATACACGTGAATGGATATCTTTATGTTAAAAATTAGTTACATGTGAGATATTGTTAAAATTTATAATAGTATTTAATTAGCTAGCTATCACGATCTGACGATTGAAAAGAATAAGCTGTTTATGTTGTCTTCAAGTATGTTTAATATGTAAACCATATGATGATTTTAAAAACAACTTTATCATAATAATTCGAAATTACAATGTAGAAGCACTGTGATACTATTTGCGAAACACTCAAATATACTGAAAAGGTTAACATTACATGACGCTACTATAGGAAAGAAAGTGGCATTCGAATACTTCTGATCTCGCAAAAACAGGTATATAGCTTCACATTCTTCAACTCACTTGCAGAAATCATCAGAACCTTGGATTTTGTTTTCTGAGAATCATGCCGGTGATTCCTTTGGAAACTCACACCAACGTTGTCACATTGTGCTTTTCGGTATCCTGCCTCCAGATGAACGTACAACGTATGAGTTTGCAGCAATGACGATTTTCTTTTTACGATGGCAAAGCTACTGAATCCGTCATTCAGGGGACAGCAGATAGTCTTTCTTGATGAAAGAATTTATCTTCCGTCCAATTGAAAGTGTTTCAGTTGTTACTTTATTCTTCTCTTCTATTGGTTTCCACTCCCTGCATACTGCGACTCCAATCTTTCGATTGACGCGTTTTAGTCTATGTCATTTACGGATTTCTGTTCCGAAACACCCGTGCAGCGAGCAAAGTTCATGGCCCATGACCTGGTTTGTTATTTCAACATTATCAGGTATTTTAATATAACAACATATCATTTGTCAAAAAAAGAAAAACACGGAAAGGCGTATTTTTAGATATGTTTAATGAATGCATCAAACTTATGAAACAAATACATTTAAGCATTTTTCCAATAAATGCCTCTATATTCTATGTCCTGTTCTACTATTGTAGCTTGACATCAGTGATTTTCCATTACACGATCACAAACCCATCAGTTATTTTGTTTAAATATTCAAATACATTAATAACAAATGAATAAAAACAATTACCCTTTCGGCGCCTCAAACTGGGACTTGTTAAACAATACAACACAAAACATGCCCCAAGTGCTCATATATATATAAAGTCCGGTCAGCAGGTTGATAATGACTAGCCAAGTATACATCGGTGTACCGAATACCACTATTAAACAGATCTTTTCATGACCTTGTAGCTACATGTACGGTTACATGTGTCAGTTGTTGTAATCGCTGTAATGCGCATGTGCAGTTTTAATAAAAATGTGTGCACAGGTATAAGGCATCCTAGTTCGTCGGCTGAGGTCAAATTACCCCTGAGAAAAGGTAACAGCAATATATAATCAACTAAATTAGCAATACGATTCATTCATTATGACTACAAACGAAGATTAATAAATTGTCAAATAACGAAGGATGTGAAAATTATTTTGCATTATAAAACATGTTCCAAGTATATCCGCAGCGTTTACATAACACCCCAAGAAATAAAAACTCGTCTGCTAGCACATACTTCCTAATCTTATTCAAGTGAGTAATTTTACTATATATAGACATTTTGTCTGTCGGCTTGCCCCTGTCATCGCGTTATACTGGTTTCACACATGTATAACTCTTCTGTGAAATGTGGCAGTGCATATTTTTCTGAGAATCGCTATTTCTATTTCATGGAATAGCACATTAGATAAATACATACTCGATGTTCCCTGCTATCCTATGACCCTACAATGACTGAGTAAGTGCAGATTATTTCTGAGAATCGCTGTATTTGTTTTCTGCAGTACCACACTGAGCACTTGAGTACTGTATAAAATGAGATGGTGTGTTATTTGTGATATTTCCAAATTTGTAAGTATTTAATTATATTAATCTTGTTAACTGTGTGAATCATCCGATATTATCATTCTTACAGTTTACAAGGCACGTTGATCGACACATGACTGCACGTATTATAAATATGGATTCGCCAACCACGCATTTATGTGGCCGGGTAGGCCAACTCTTTAATAAAAAAATCTATTTTTAAACAACTAGTTTCAAATAAACAAAAACTTTAAGAAGGAGGTTTTGCTGCTCTAATGAAATACATATATCGACTCTTTATATTCATGTAAGATATAAAACATGCATTTTTTATGTAAGTTTGAAAATTACTAATTCAGCTTTCAAGACTGTTTTTGAATAGTTTTTAACTTCCTGATATAATCATATGCAACAGAAAGTCTATGAAAAAATAGTTCATAGAAAATATTGCCTTCAATTTAACTTTGAGATAAATCGACAAAATGTTGTCTTTTAATAACAAGGTAATACCTGCTCACGCCGATCGTATATAGCATAATGAACGTAAAATTAAGAACAAAGGAGACTCGTCGATGAATCATTTATTTGGATCCTGACTTACAAGATAATCAGCAGGGATGGCTCACTACTTAGAAGTTTTCTGTATAGAATAGAAAGGGTATTTAAATTAACTATATATCCTCGTTAATATATTGAATAAAAATCATTTTTTTGCTACCAACATACTAAAGTCATATTTAACTTTTTCCATGTCAAAAACAGTTGCTAAAAGTGTAAGTGCCGAAAATATGTTTTTCTAATCTTTGTTTTCTTATTGCAGGTAAGCTGTTGACTTCCAATAATTTAGTGCACAACGAATAATCTCAAATTATTACACGAGGTCAAACATGTCGGACGAGAATGATTTGCCAAATTCCACCTGCTCCTCACAGACAGGAAACGGTGTCAAACAAGAGGCTTCTGAAGACGACAAAACGTTATTGGAACAAAAAGAAAATATTCGGTACTTGCTTAACCAAAACCAAAACAAAATTTGCTAAAAAATACATATGAATTTGAAAAAGGGATTAATGAGCCATTTTTATTATTTTCTTATTTTGTTTTCCCATTTATAATATATAGATATATATATAATTTGATAGTATCTCTTTTATTAATATAATTTAATTGAAATGAAAGCAACAAGCTTTTCCAAAAATAGATTTACTCTTGATAATTGTTTCATATTACAATGGACAATACAAGCATGACACTTTTTTAAATATATTTTTGATAATAATCAGAACCATTATTTTGATTTAACAAGTAAGATTCAATGAGTAAATACAATAATAACAAACAACAACTAAATTGATATTGTTTATATGATAGTTGGTCTCTGCATTTGTTTGGGTTTTTTTTTCCTTGTTTTTGTTTTACACTCTTGCACTAATTTTGGAGAATTTTACCAATAAGGAAAAACCTGCGGCAATGAAATTGTATATAAATCAATTCCACCGTCCGGAGGTTAACAGTCTGGTTTGTTATTTTTTCAAGTGACCCAGGGCATGTTGAAGTGGAAGAGAGAATAGAAGAATCGTCCTACCAACCCAGACAAAGGGAACAAACAGAAGACGAATCCTTAGCACTAATATATAAAGGCAATTCTTTCAATGGCATGCGGTTGTGGTTTTTATCAACACATACATGTCAAGAAATCATGCGTGATATATTAAAAAACAAAAATCCTTTTGGAAGAACTGATGAAAACTTGAGAGATCTTTTAAATAACCGAAAAGATCTTTTTGAAAAGAAATCGGAACAATTGTATCAGAAATTTCTTCGAAACGAAATTTCTTATGAAAATGTAGACACGACCTTGATGTATGTGATTGCTAGAAATGTTCTACACGAAGAAATTTTACCTGGGCCAAGCAAATGGGATCCAAATCCATCTAAATCGGATACCAGTCTTCAAGCAAGTGTTGACAGACTCCGACAGTTTCGTAATAGCACAGCGCATATCGCGGAATCAAATATGCCAGATGATGATGCTTTCATGAGACAATGCAGGGATCTTAAAACAGTAGTGGAATCTGTGGAAAAGTGCCTTGGATTACAACCACCACAGTATGGGATCAAAGTGGAGCGTGTTATGTACGCTGAGAAACCAAGCGATGTAGACAAACTGGAAAGAAAAGTTTTAGAAACAGGTATGTATATACAAAATGTACATGTCAATATGTTGTACATGTGTCTGTGTACATAAAGCAACTACAATGCTTATAAAGTTTCTTCTTTTTTGGAGAATTGAGGGAAAAATTAACTAAACTATAAATTATCCACTGACTGCATTTATTACTATTAGCTATTACTCATTAACATAAACGCGTCAGTATCGATACATAGATGATATGGAAGGTTGATCTGCGATGAGTTAATGAATTTTCAGCATTAATTATTTACATATTTTCACTACATGAGACATGCTCTCTTCTTCAACTATGACAAAGTTAAGTTGAGTCAAAATCAACCTTATGGAACATGATTGTTAAGTGACACACATTCATAAAAATGTGTCAATTATTTGTCATGATTTGTCATAAATACGGAAGATGTCGAAGAAGAAGCCCTAAAATTACTATATATATAATAAGTTTTGCTACAATTAAATATAAATGATTATTTGTTCGAGCAATGTATTGAGTGTTATTGTAATAGAAGTGCCCTTTTCAGCAGGTAATCACACAAGTAACGTATACTGTACTTTTCGATGCTTTGACATAACCCAAATTTGGCAGTTTTGGTTAAAACAAATAAGGCGTTTCACCATTACTGTGTGTTATATTTTAGTGTTGTCTGATGCCTATCTTAACATACAAGTGTAGTTGCCCCATCAGTTCATTAGGTAACAGTACGTTACATGTGTAACACTAATAAAAAATACTCGAAGGCAATAAAGTCCATCTACATATTGATGGGTACAGAGTTGTGTAGTTGACATGACCCGATTAACTATATCATATATTTACCCAGGTATTTTTGGCTCAACGTGTATTTGTAGTAAGGTATGAGCTTTATCAGATGCATATATAAACAGCCTTTGTAATTTTCCTCAACTGGCTGCAATGGAGCACGCGTGTAATCGTACCTGTGTGCTATTGATCGATATCGATAACAATGACTTACCTGTATACCCTCGCACGCAACTAATACACAAGATACTACTGGAAAAGAGGATTCCGCCGGGAACACATCTAAATACTACGGGGAACAACATTTAATTGCAATGTCAAAAACATGACTTACGAAGATATTATTCTAATTTTGTGAAATGTTTAGAAACTGTCAGAGTTCTTAAACTGAAGCGAAAATAAATTGAACTGCCATGTGAAATGAATGCATATATAATGATGGTCTCCGGCGGAATATTATACATTATGTACATGTCCATGAATAACATTTTTCCTGCAAAATGTTTAGTGACAAAATATTTAGTCCAGTTTGTCATTTTATTGTTGAATTCAAAACAAACCTTTGTCCAAGTTGTTTTGCTAATCTTATTGGACTGGGTTTTTTTTACGAACAGTGTCTCACATTTATTATTTGATAGTAATATAAGTGTTGAGAATCAATTTAAAATGACAAGGTTTTGAGTTTAATTAATTACTAGGTTGTTAACATAAATCAAATCGCTGGGTTCCATAGGCGTATTATGTTTCCGATAGTTGAAAAACATATCAAACGATTAAAATAATATCTAAGTTAGTCATGCATTCAATTGCAATTCAATTATGTTTCCCGTCTAATTAAGATATGTTCCCTGGCGGAATAATCTTTTCCGGTAGAACACGGTGTAATAAGAAAAGAGGCCAAAGACCTCCAAGCTCTAGGTGCAATATTTATAGATTGCTGTATGTACATGTATCTCTGCTTGGTTATTTAAGTTTTACAGTATTACTCTTCAATGAAGTTTTAAGATGTCATTCGAATACCTAAAAAAAATATTAAAAAATCCCGAATTATTTCATCATTCACCAGTTCTCTAAGTCACCTCCTACTGCCTTTTGTCAAATCATGGAACTGCAGTGTACAGGACAATACAAAATAAATGAAACTGGAGTAGTAATATGAATGGAAATTGTTAAAGCCAGAACCACGGTTTGACCAGTAAACAGTCAATTGACTGCAACATATTTTCTTTCAGTGTAAGCACAATTCCTTGATTTTAATGTAATGCATAAGACTATTTTGATAGCGTACATACGTTGCATGATATGTAATAATATTAAAAATTCACGCGTCCGCTTATCAATGTGTACTCCATCATTTACAAATTAAAATAAAACGTATACATATGATTGCGTTACTCCTAAACCTACCGGAAGAAAGTACTCGTACAGATTGTGTGCTAGTGTTCATCGTTGTTTAACGAAACTAGGACACACACACACACAAGTTGCTGTTCTCAGAAAGCCATTGCAATGGGTAGCGTGAAAATTGTATCGAACAATTTGTAATCGATTTTCCGAATAAACTGCAAATGATTGCACCTTGTGCATTTGTAAGCTGAAGCAGGTACAGGTGAAGTTGTTCATCCGCCATTGCATCATAAAAATGATCATGTGAATAGTCTGTTAAGTACATGTAATTTTGCATTGTAAACCTATGTAATGTCACAGTGATATATGATACGTTGCCCACTACCGGTTCACTGGGGAAGCTATGCGTAGCCCTGTTATCACCCCTGCTATGTGAGTAAGACCCCGTGATGAAATAGTACTTACTGTGAATATTTTTCATGTCGATTGATTTGGAATTTTATTTAAATTGTACGGTTTTAAAAGAGGGTATGAACACATTTTTATAATGTTTTAATAGATTGCATTATTACAAGCATGTGACCGTACAATATATGGGAGTTCCGCTAAGGATATGATGTAACACAAATAAAGGCCCATCTATAACTTATGTGCCGGCAGTTGGCCTATCCAACCACCACTACTAAGGTAGCAGTATAAAGTAGGGTGCGGTGGTCATTGGTAATATTTTTGTACAACAAATATTCCATCCAATATAACATCTATCAAAATAAAAAAAAAGTAGCACTAAAATATAAGTGATGAAATGGACTATGTGGGCTTCCTAAATATTCAAGAAAAACATTTCGTTTGAAAGTACAGCATTGGCCGTTTACAAAACTGTGTATATACAACAAAAGCTAGCTTTAAATGTAGTCTTTTTTGTACTCAGCACACATGTGTTAATTTTTTTTTTAAATCCACCGGCATGACCAATGCTTATACGTGAGTAATTCTGTTACCGAGACGGTGATATCAAATTTAAGACATGTATTCAAAAACAAAATCTGTCTTTGGGGTCAAACTTTGGGTCTAAAAGTATGGGTTTTTTTTTGTTGCATTTTTCGTTTTTTGATGTGGTAACCATGGTTTTCACAGGTCTTAATCTTGGGGTTGGGGAATTTAAAAAAAAATGATTGTTTTCTAAAATATTTGTATTTTAATAAAGTTTATAAATATATATATGTGTGTGTGTGAAGGTGTGTTGTGCAGGATGAATCCACTATCCACGTGTATCTCACACATGCCCTTTACCTTTAACATAAGCCAATTTCTACTGTACACTGCTACCTAACCCCAAGTCTTCTCTCGGGGCAGAAAATCATTTGTAAATTGCATTCGTGACATAAATATTTCACTTCTTGCTTACAGTGTAGCCTTCCTGGGTTGTTATCTTTGTACGTAATCTTACTTCTTAAGTCACATGCATTTTGATGAGATATTCTTATGTTTTCAATTATATGCATGTATATAATACAGAACAAAATTACAACATATTACCGTGTTGCAAAGATACTTCATCTTTCGATATCTAAATCACAATTTGTAATTAATATTTTTTCTTTTGTTCTTTTCATCGTACATCAGTTGAAGCGACTGGAAAGGGCGTTGATCAACAGGTCCTTACAAGCCTAGATGACAGACTTCAAGGTAAATTCTAAATGATGTTAGTGAATTAAGAAGATACATATATGCTTTATGCATGACGAGCTCATCTTCCTGTTATGCAATACTCATATTTCTAAATGTAGCGCAAGTATTACACTACTTTACTGTTGTCGCATATCTAAGAGTGAATGTATGATCAATGTAAATATAACAGGTTATGCCATTGTTTCAAATTTCTTTTCAAATTCTAGCTCTGGCCTTGTATATTTTTTTGTTATTTCTTTGTTTGGCCCTATGCACATGCCGCTAATTCATATATAAAACACAATCACATTCTGTATAGGAGTATGTTATAGTACCGATTAGTTTGTCAACTAAATACATACAAATATACCTTAAATCAATTTTAAGACTCAAAGTGGTTTTTTTACCTAATATGCATTATTATTGATTTATCAAATTGTTCTCAATTTCAGAAATTGCCAGTGAGTTTAAGAAATTCAATGACAACTTGACAGGGCAAGAAGGTAAGCAAAAGTTTAAAAAGGCATGAATTGAATTGAGGGTCTTGCAAAGACCTTTGGGAACGTTTGGTATATTTTTTTTCTCAGATGTGAGTAATCAGATAGTTCATAGGATAATCGCTTGTTTGCTCAAAATTATTTTTTGGTTTAATTCAGATCTTGATCCGTTCATACAAGTTAGTAGTATTTGAGACCTAATAGTCCTTATGAAGCTTTCACATATGCTACAACATTAAAAAAAAATCTGTTCATCATATGTTTTTTTATATCATGATTTATCATACTTTGTACTAAGTATTTTTTACGAGCCACAGGGACAGAAAAGGAAATGTTCTCAGGAAAAACAAATGTCCTTTAGAGGCAATATCAATATTATGAGCCTGAATTAATCTTAGTGTATGCTTTTTCGAGGTAGCGTGGGTCACATATACGATCAGAAGGTAAAGATTACTTATCCAACGAGATTTTCATCGACTATTTAATTTATTGTGTTTTGGGGACATTTTGTCTAAACTAACAGTCTTATGTATTCTTATAAGGTAAAATTGCATCTGCTTCACACATTTTTACCTCACGGTTAAGGGTACGATCACATTAAAATAAAGTACAAAAATGTTTAACCATTGTCAATATTACAAAAACAAAAAATTACTTCTTCAGAAATATTTTATATAAGTCATATGTTACGATGTATTTTACAGATCTGCTGTTGTTTGAAATATGAAAATTTGACAATACAAATATAAAACCTTAAAACAAAATAAAACAAACTGCAGGGTTCGAACTAGGGGCATTTATACTGCTAATATTAAACTCAGCTAAAGTTACTAACCAGATGTTATAAATCCACAATATCAAAATAAGCCATAGTGCCTACGTGCATATCTTATCTCATGCAGTGGTAACCTTTACCTTCGAGCACAAAATGCATGTCGTTGCAATTAAGGTGATTAAATAAAAGAAGTGATTTAGAAATATTTGCCCGTGAAATTAACTGATAATATTTCCCTCAGGCCTAGTTTTCACAATTGGGTTCGGTTTGAAACGTTTATATAATGTTAAACAGTCCATTGAGAACATTTAAATTAACAAATATTTCATACCTATGACTTAAAACATGGTTGTTTGATGTTTTACATTACTAATATCTTCTCCTTAATACTTACAGCTCAAACTAAGGCACTCATTGAAAACCATGAAGTCGAAGAACGTTTCTACGAAGAGACAAAATTATCCAGGAAGGCGATGGAACTTCTAGAGGAGCACCACCACTTACTCATCACAGGTGACAGTGGCAGCGGTAAAACGGCTCTGGCATTTCATCTGATGTTTCAACTATTTAAATTAGGTCATTGTAAAGTACATAATCTGAATTCCATATCTGAATTCTTAAACAATATCGATCCTAATGGTTTTGTTATAACATTAGTTGAAATCTCAGAGACAATTACTAAAAAAGACCAGAAAAGTCTGAAAACAATCATTAGAGAATACATACATGCAAAGCAAAAAACAAGTTTATACATCATTATGACGACGGGGCTAGAAAGTGTTACAAAGATTGCAAATCAGACACCTCACATAGACTTATCAGACCCCGAAGACGATACACTATGCCTTGATTTCAATGAAAAAATGGCCATTATACAAAAACAATTAAAACGTGCATGTGCAAACACCTTCTTACCAGATGACAAAACTTTGGAGAGCATCACAAAAATGACTGAAACCCCTATCGCATTTCCCCAGGCAGCATTCTTGTTTGCAGATAATGAACATTACCGGAAGTATGGTGCCGAGTTTTTTAGGTCCCCTGTCGTATACTACCGATCAGAGATTGAAAGATGCACACAAAGGAATTCCAACACCGTTATACTGTTGGCTCTTCTGTTCGAGGAAAATCCTATTTCCTTTACAACTCAGCACATGAAGAAAATTAAACAAAAGTTTTCTGAAGATGAGGGAGGTAAAAAAATATTAAAGGATAAACAGATGAAACAGCTTCCCGACGCTGCCAAAGACTTAGTAACCGAAGAATTAGTGTCAGAAGCGGAAAGCAAATACGGGTTTAGGAACCCGGCCGTGGAAAAAGCTGTTCTTTCGTTTGCCGTTGAGAAGTTCCTAACACTTACTCTACAAAACCTGAATCAAGAAACTCTCTGCGATACAACCGTATTTAGATGTACAGGACAACATGAGGAGATTGGTCAACTACTGCAAGAAACTGACAAAAGCGTTCTCGCTTGTAGGGTTTTTGAAGATATGTTAAACGACCGCACAGCAGCTCTCTCCAGCAGTGATGCCTGGCTAGACCAATCATTTATATCAAAACTAATGAAAACACTTGAAAAACACAGAAGTCAGAAACATGAACAGAACGATGCATGTATTAACAAGCTGATGGAATGGTCAGTCAAGTACAAATGTCTGCCACTATGTAAAGGAATTGAAAAGTTTCTTCGTGAGTTCAACAATACACGTAGAATTGCTATCATGACACACTTTTTATTGCACGCATGCGAAACTATGAACAATTCGTTTCATCTAGCAAGGCATGAATTCAAATTATCAGACCTACTGCACTTTTTTGCAAACAATGGTGCCGACTGTAGTCACTGTACATGCACTGATGGCAAAAGTGACCATTCATTTCCACTCCGATGGATCCTGAACTCAGGAGATGATGAATCCTTACGAGTCCTGCTTAAAGCAGGAGCAAAAGATCCCCATTCCCATTGGGGATTTTGGAACTTACTAGCCGCAGCAGCAAAAGAAGAAGAGACGATCATGTGCACGTGCTCCTTCGTTAGCATACAATGTTCAAGCTCGTTCTCAAAAGAGCAACAGGGGATCGGCGGGGATCTTGTTGAATTCGCAAAACTTGTTAAGGAGTTTGTAGAGGACTCGAGAGAAAATAAGCAGAAGCTGTTTTTCTGTTGCCTGGATACTATTGGGTTAAATCCAGAGCTTATGCGAGCAATGCATGAACAGGAGTTCCAAATTCTTAGTAAGGATGAAAAAGGAAACAATTGTCTGCATTATGTTCTTTCTTTATCGCCCCCTCCAGCTAAAGTGTATGAAACAGTTTCAGTCCTGGCAAACGTTCCTGACTTACTGACAGATACAAACAATGATTCGAAAACACCTTTAGCAATGGCTGTTCAAATCGAGTGTGACATTAAACGTATTGTCAAACTTTCAGAAAAATGCCCCTACGATATCCTCACTGAAGCCCTTCATCTGTGTATAACTTCAAAAATAAATGACGAAACAGTATCGCAAAGAGCAGCCGAAATGATCAAATGTGGAGCAAATCCTCATGAAGTAGTTTCAAGTGGCCAAACCTGTATGCAAGCGGCAATATCAAGGGGAAAGAGCCGTATCAAAACTCTTGGAATGCTTTCTCATTGCCAGAGCGACTCAGATATTCATGCCACAACATTCATGTTGCATTATTGCATCAAACTAGATTTAAAGGACCCAGAAAAAGAAGAAGCTGTTGCTGTGTTGATAAAGGAGAAAGCTTCAGTAAACCAACAGAATGACGAAGGAGTGACGCCGCTCATGTTAGCGGTACAGGCAACAAGCAATAATCTTGGTCTGGTAAAGTTGCTCCTAAATAACGGTGCAGAAAAAAACATTCCTGATAAAAAAGGAATGTTCCCGTTGCATTACTGTTGCATGGCAGATATGGAGACCCATATTGCGATAGAAATAGTCGATATCCTGCTGACCGATGACAAAATAAAAGAAATGGAAACATCGCCTGCACAATCGCCGTTAATGCTTGCGATAAAGAACAGGAAAGAACCAGATCTTGTAAAGAAGCTAGTGGACGCAAACTTTGACGTTCATGAGACGGATTCTGATGGAAACACAGTATTGCATTTATTAATGCATTCTCATTTTGAAGATAAGACGGTACTTGAGATAGTTCAAACGTGCATTGACAACGGTGCTGCCCCATTTGCACAGAACGACAATAACGAAACTCCTGTAGTGTCTGCATTATCTGCAAACCAAGGGCGTTTCGAGACAATTAGAAATATTCTTGACACTACCAAATTTTGTTATAAATCACTCAAGGATTCGCATGGACGCAGTTTGCTCCATGTGTGTATTGAAGCAGCAATGGCTGATGAAAACACAAGCATCCTGTGTCAATCCATAATCCAATGCGAGGAGTTTGTAACCGAAGATGACTGCCACGAAGAAAGAAATACGGCTATTTCTTTGGCCGTCTCATCTAAAAACACACGAGAGAAAACGTTGTGCACTCTTCTCAAATCCTTTTCCATGGAAGTGACGCATAACCTTTTTGAAAGGATAAAAATCAGAAACAAGCTTACACATGAGTTGCTAACACTGTTTCTCGATTACGGGATTCAACTAGAGGATAGATGCAAAGAAGATATGATGCCTTTTCATATCAAAGATGACTTCGCAACAGCTGTAGACGCAGACATTGTCTTGCCTCTTACGAAGCTTGGATTTGATGTCAACAGAAAGACCAATGCAGGAGATACACTTTTAGTATCTGCATGCAAATCACCATGCAATGCTTCTCTCATAGGGGAATTAGCAACATACAGTAACCACAATCTCTGTACACTAAAAAGAGAAGCATATTTACCTCTGATTGTCAAATCAGACCGGTCAGATGAAGATACAATGGTATGCATAGAGTTGATCATGAGGGAGGCGAAAACCGCAATTGACCAAGTCAACGAAATGCATAGAACTGCATTAATAGAAAGTGTTCGGAAAAGAAAACCAAACACTTTTAAATATCTTATCTGCAATGGTGCAAACCAAAATTTACGGGATCGGTATGGGAAAACTGCCCTTCACTATTGCGTAGAAAGCGAACTGTTTGATGATGAAGTATGCGAGCTGCTTTCAATACTTTTGCCAGAGAGACCAAATGTGAAGATTGAAGATACACAAAACAGGACTGTATTGAACTTAGCCTCATGTCATGCGACAAGAAGTCGAGTTCGTACTTTAACTATGTTATTGAAACATCCATGTGATGTCGAAACGGTCGACGATAGAGGTAGAACACCAGTTCACAATTGCATTGAACATGTAAAAGGAGACACCAAACTCCAAGTCCTAGAACGACTGTGTCGGTTGTCACTTCATGTATTTCACAAAGCGGATCCTCATTGTAAAGATGATAAGGGCAAAACTGCAATAGATCTATGTAGGGAGTCCCACTGCGATTCATTTGCTGCAGAAATCGAGTTTTTAACAGAGAAAAACATGGACAAAATCACCAATGTTATAAGCACAGTCTTGTCATCAACAGACAGTGTTGTAGTGGAGCAAGCGTCTGAAAATGTCACTGAAAACCAGCCTGAATGGCAACCGAACAGCACCATAACAGATGTAATACAAACAGCAAGTGAATTTTTACACCAAAGGTCGTTAAATGACCCCGAAACCCGTATTATTGGCTACACGCAGGGAAAGAAAGAAGGCAATGTTGTGATTCCGTTCGAAGTCCCTGCATCTAAATAGATACGCTTTCAATAGCATTATGCTAAGTTATCTCTCTGTAAACGATTACATGAATTAATAAAAATATGTACTCGTTTTCTGAAAGGAAACGCGAAGGCAGAATCATCAGGCGAATTTCAAACATAGACTGATGGATCAATTCAGTATTTTCTATTGAACAGTTTATGCCTGAATCATTACTTAATATTCTGACAAGTTTCTTAGCAGATACTTGAATTATTAAAAGTCTAGTTTATGCCGTCGACCTTCCCGAAAATGCCGATACCCACATTGTTGACCATGAGTTTTCAATAATATCGGATTCTTTAAAAATTAATCATCACATCAGGGAAATTAAAAAATATTATATAAACATTAGGCAAATCCTTTTGTACACAAGATATGACCCCATCCGTTACAGCATTTTGGGAGAAAATCTACAAATCATAGCTCAGTGACTATTTCGTTCAGGAAACATTTAGGTATTGAGCCGAGCATTCCGGTATGCAGTTGCTTTTATAATGATATTTGTTTAAGCAGTTAAGCAATGTTTGTTTTTGCACTATCTAGACCCGTGTTCTAAGGATAGTACTATATTGACAACATCACAAATGTATCAATGCTTTAATGTTACAATTAATAAATGTAAATTATTGCAAGTGCCTTAAATATTTGAAACTATTTTTCGCTACTTTGTACTTTTTCACATTTACTGTCGTCGTCGAGATAAGCACATAATAATAACAATAATATACAACATTTATATAGCGCCCTATATAATTTGTAAAATTACTCTTACGCTTAACAACATATGGATAATAGTAATGGTTATAATTGTGAAAACAAACAACAAAGGCTTGCAATCACTTTCATACATTTAACAAGCAATGTGCACATAACTGAACAAATAAAAGGGTGGTATTTACATGCCGTCTTTGCAAAGATTCTAAAATGCTGTATACAAATGCAATGACATGTCAAAACTTGCTCAGACATTTGCATGTTTTGAGTATATATTGTCTACGTAAGATTATTATTTAATTGTATATTTCATATGTACATATCACGTCAGCAAATAGTTATTACTCAAATCTGTATAAAGAAATCCCCTAAAAGGAAAACTCAAAAGTGATATCTCAACGGAGATTGCCCATACCTGTAACTGTATAGTTAACTCGATATTTGTTTCTTAATTAGCAAATGGTGGTCTCTTAATGAGGATGATAGATTAGAGGTGTCTCTCAAAGGACAGATTTGATTGAATAGAGTAGATGTTTGGCGAGCAGATTTGATTGATTAGAGTAGGTGTTTGGCGAGCAGATTTGATTGATTAGAGTAGGTGTTTGGCGAGCAGATTTGATTGATTAGAGTAGGTGTTTGGCGAGCAGATTTGATTGATTAGAGTAGGTGTTTGGCGAGCAGATTTGATTGATTAGAGTAGGTGTTTGGCGAGCAGATTTGATTGATTAGAGTAGGTGTTTGGCGAGCAGATTTGATTGATTAGAGTAGGTGTTTGGCGAGCAGATTTGATTGATTAGAGTAGGTGTTTGGCGAGCAGATTTGATTGATTAGAGTAGGTGTTTGGCGAGCAGATTTGATTGATTAGAGTAGGTGTTTGGCGAGCAGATTTGATTGATTAGAGTAGGTGTCTCGAGGAGCAGATGTGATTGATCAGACTAGGTGTCTCATGAGCAGATCGGATTGATTACAGTTGGCGTCTCTGGGGCAGATGTGATTGATCAGGCTAGGTGTCTCATGAGCAGATCGGATTGATTACAGTTGGTGTCTCTGGGGCAGATGTGATTGATCAGACTAGGTGTCTCATGGGCAGATCGGATTGATTACAGTTGGTGTCTCTGGGGCAGATTTGACTGTATTTACAATAGTACCAATCTCATTGTAGGTTTCTTGAATTTTGCGATAATTTAATTATACCTGAGCTTGAAGCACCTTAATCGTCATAATTCAAAATTAATGAAACTTATATATACTATACCATATTATTGTATAAAGTAATGTAGTTTTTTAATGTAAGCATTATTATATGAATGAATTCATCAAGGAACTAAGAATAGCATCATTGTATTGTTTGAGTTATTATCAGCAATATTTCTTTTTCTATTGTACATTACGTCAAGGAAAATATTGTATAGCCACATAACCTAAAGGAACTAATCACCTGCATGATTTGCATAGGAAAGCATTATAGGAGTTTAGGAAATATCTCAAGGACATTTCTACCTGTCACTTCTGTAATACGATTATGGGATATGGAAAATAACCTAAGAAATTATCTTTAGTTAATGAAGGTTCGTGAACCTAGAGTAAACGCATCTATGCTTATAGTACACGTAGTGAATGGATGAGAAATATGCTTATCCTCCCACCCATCATAGAATGTTGATACGGGGTCATGATGATGACCCCCTTCTCTCTGTTCATCAAATCACCTACGCTGCTTATCCAGACAAATCATTTTTAGATTTTTTCAGCTTTCAGTTTCCAGTTATTGCCCTTTTCTTATATTTTAAGTTACCCGAGTCTGTGATTCGGGACGAAATGGGAAAGCATATTATCAGAATGCATTTAAGAAACTGTGACATATAACTGAACCGTCTTGGAAAACTTGGAGTTGTTTTAGTTGTTTTTTACTTTATCACATAATATACTGTGTTATCCAATGAATATACCCATGTCATGGGTCAAAATGGCGGCCTTTTTTATTTCAAGGTTGCATGAAAATTGTCGTTTTACACGAATACATGCTACAAATCCTGTTTATGTGGTAAAAGGATCTTACAATCGTTTTCATTTCATATGAAATTTATGAAACTCGTCACGAATTTTTCAGTTTAGCTTGCCAGAGGCCGTAAATTGAAAAATTCTTACGGACTCGCTTCATAAATCTCATATGAAATGAAAACTCATGTCATATCTTTATGTATGTAGATTACAAAAACGGTGATTTGTACTCTTTGCTGGACAAGAGAAGCTTTCATAGCTACAATTCTTTTTGCAAATAATGTATGTGTGCTACAAAAATAATTCATATATATTTTTATATGTATCAATATTTTATATATTTATATAAGTAACGGTCTCCATCATTGTCATTTTACCCATGTTTGTGTTTTTTAAAGACTAACTCTGCAGCAAAAGTTACACTCTTGCACACAGTAGCAATCATCGACTATTTAAAATCGACAGTTACCTAAATGATTACCTATTTAATCAATCAGACAGTCGAATGGTATGTACATGAAACGTAACTGATAACATAGTTTGAAGTATTTTCAACTCCGTCCTTAATTTTTGACATTTGTTCTCCCTCGATTTTCGGATATGACGAATTTTCGAAAAATCAACGACCAATGCAGGTTTTTGTGTTATTGTGTTTGAATATGTGTTTGCGAGGAATCTCAATTTGAAATCGTCTCTTCTCAAGAAAAGACGCCAAATTAGTTATCTTGCAAAGTTTTTTCACACTTGTGTCACACAATAATGACATAATATTGCGATTTATTTGCAAATTCATTTGTTTGGTTATATTTTGAAAATTTCAAAATCAATTTTACCTGTGCTTCGACCGGATTGATAATAAATGAGTTTGACTACTTTAATGAAATAAAGAGCATAACTATACAGTTTGGGTCGAATTTAAAAGGTGATTTCCTGTTGATTCTTTACAATTATTCACTTTTTAATAGTTTTTGCAATATTTTATGGCAATTTGTAAAGTATCAAAGATATTCTGAACTTCCGTCTTACAACACAAATGACAAAAACATTGCGTCAAAACAGTTATAAACAATATTGGACATAGACTCGGCACTTGGTTAATATATGTGATGGGCCTTAAGCGTATGACAATACAGTGACATTGTTTCGCACATCCTAAATTTGATATCTCGAACCAAAAATGTCAGCAGGACTTATCTTTTAAATTGGTATAATTTTGTGACTGCATTGATGTCTGTTGATTTAAAAGTATGTACACGAATATTCATTGGTTAAGTCATCATTTAGATAAATAGCTTATGATTTTTAAAAAATAACTTCTTTAAATAAATTTACTTGTACAATATATGAAATTGGCAATAAATATACATGCAAAAAAAGAGAGTAGTTGTATGCTTTATTCAGTTGTGAATATAAACATGTATTTTCAACAAGGTATTTATATATAAATATTGAGATTGAGTCAATATCAGCACCCTGAGCGATATTTTGGACTCAGGCTGATACGAAGTAAAGATAATCGTATGATACGCTTTGTGTAAAGACGACCGTATTGTCTGCTATATGTAAATTTAATCGTAGATTATTTCTCGACGTGCCAAAGCAAATATTTGTCATAGCTTTTGTGATTTATTTGAAACAACATTATAATTTTTATCATTAGAAAGCATCGTCTATATATGTATCAAAAATGTTTATACAGTTTGATACGGCGTCTTTTGGTGTCGGTTGATATGTTTACATTATATGATTCTATGATATGCTATATTAAACTTAATGATGGAAATACAGATCCTTGAGATATATGATGGTATGAAACCCGGATGATATTAAACGATCACTTTTGTAACCCTACTTACCAGTGTATCTCGAATACACCAGTGGTTGTTGCAAACGTCAACCACTATTGTACATTTTCGAATGATTACAAAAATGGTTGCACATGCACCCTAAGTGTAACCGGGTTACACTAGTGTATTTGATTAAAGTAACGATTTTACGGTGCTTTCCAACATATTCGATAATGAACACTATCATGGAGAATATCTCAATGCAGATAGGTTTTTAATCATTATTAATGTTAAGTGTATTTCTGTGCTTGTATTTATGTTCAAAACAACGAATAAAACTATTAGTCTAGTTTCTTGTATGCTACTTTAGATTCAATGTTTATTAAGTGATTTACTGTTTTACTCATATAATTTGGGGGTTTCTTCTTTTTTTGGCAGGGGGGAGGGGGAAATCTAATTTGTTTGTAACATTGTTCATCAGGTGACTCAAGTCAATCGGATACTTTTCGATAAATTTTGTGAAAGTTTTAATCTGACATCACGGAATGATTGGTCCCGATTACTCTAATAGTACGAAAGAAATATCCAAATCGTTTAAAAAGTAAAAAAAAAAAAAAAAAAAAAAAAAAAAAAAAAAAAAAAAAAAAAAAAAAAAAAAAAAAAAAAAAAAAAAAAAAAAAAAAAAAAAAAAAAAAAAAAAAAAAAAAAAAAAAAAAAAAAAAAAAAAAAAAAAAAAAAAAAAAAAAAAAAAAAAAAAAAAAAAAAAAAAAAAAAAAAAAAAAAAAAAAAAAAAAAAAAAAAAAAAAAAAAAAAAAAAAAAAAAAAAAAAAAAAAAAAAAAAAAAAAAAAAAAAAAAAAAAAAAAAAAAAAAAAAAAAACATTGAATGGTTTTTGGCGTTAATACTTTCATAACGATATGTTGAGGAGCTTTAATTTGAGAATGTACTAAAGACGTGTGAATGTTGGCTGGTTGGGTGGCACATTGGATAGCGCACTTACGCACTTGCCTTTCACCAAGGCGGACGGGGTTCGATTCCCCGATCGGGCCGGAAAAGTTATAGGTCACATGCACGACAACGTGGGTTTTTCTCCGGCTATTCCAGCTTCCTCCCACATTACGAGCCCCCGCGCGCTAACTTCCGGGCTAACAAGAGCGATTAAGATAATTGAACAATCTCGTTTCATAATTTTTATAAAATAGCTTAAGTTTATATTAAATGTAAATGGTATGTTTTGTTATACCATAGGATGTAAGACGTAACGTAAATGATTATATTTTGTTTGTAATAGCATATATGATGTAAATAAGATATTTTTGTTGTTATGCAATTGATCTATATATGTATTTCGTGTGAATCATTTTGTTTTCATAAATGCGACATGAGTTTTGTAAGAACCAGACAAAGACTGCTTCTATTACAACAAAAGCCTCATATAAAGGTGCTTTTACACATAATATTACACTCAAAGTGTTAATAAAAAGCATCTTAACATTATAAAGTATTTGGCATTTTTACAAACATTTTTTGTAGAAAGATTGGGGCAATGCAAAAACAATCGTAGATTATTTCTAGATGTGCCAATATCAAAGCTAACAATTGTTTTTGCGATATATTATTATGCGTTATTTTAATTGACGGTTTGTAATTTTGTATCATGATATGTAATTAGATATTATTCTACGATATGCTATGAGATATTTAATTATTGTAATGCATATAAGTGTTATTTACTACGGTAAAAAAAATCAAGTGCTTACAGTACTTACAGTACAAACCTATTACAAAATGCACGTCATAAACGGTAACGACGGTTTTAATCTAGTCGCATACAAGTATGTATTTGTCTTGTGTTACCATTTCAATCATTAGACACACATTAATCGAAAACTTTTCTGTTAAACTCCAAATTACAAATTACGGCATGACTGGTCGGTTTACTCTTATAGAACGAAGGAAATGTCCCAATATTTTCCTAATGGAAAAACAAACAAATGTCGTATTTTTCGTGTTAAACTTTCAAATCAACATTTTCAGTTGGTAGATTTATTTAGAGGCTGTACAAATGGAAATGAGAAAATTATACAGTATTTTGCTATGTGCTATAATAAGTATGGTCATGTATTATCAGCTAATTTGTTGATAATGAAATAAATGATATTAAAAAGGTATTTGAATTATTGCATATTTTTCATCTATTCCTCAAGAAAAATTTAATGAAAGGGATATTTTCATGAAATTCTTAAAAATAATTTTGTTTTGATAAACGCGTCATGCATTTTCTATGACTAATTGGAACTAAAAGTATGAACGTACACCACACACAGGTAAAACTAGACTAAGACGGCTTCCACGACACTTTAGATGTTCATTAAATAACCCTCTAACACAATTTATATTGCATTTTAATGTGTTTTACTTTGGTGTATATGAGCAAGTCAGAATTCTGCACTTCTGTAAATATTCTATTACAACAAATGTTAAGAAAATTAACTTGGTTAACGCATATAATATTAATTAATTTTATTCAACATATATTCCATACAAATTCAACTGATATACAGTGAAGTACCATATTCTTACACGCTACATCACTTCCTATTGTATTCTATGTGAATTTTATTTTGGAAATTTTATTTACCTCGCTTTGTTTTTAATAAAAATAAAAAAGTAACTTAGTGCTTGTCCTGATAATATCAATATATTTATCCGTTTCGTGCAACACCGGGCTTGTGACCGAAGGGTTGTGGGTTCGAGTCACCCCCGGCACTGTGTTGTATCTTTGAACAAGATACTTTACTCCGCTTATTTCATTCTACTCGTCTGTTATTGATTACGTGGTTGGGTAGTGCTAGAGTTGTTGAATGCTAGTTGTGAGCGCCGAAATGGCAGCATCGGCTGCATGCTCCCCATTGAGTTGAAAAAGATATATTGACTGGTTGCAGAGGCCCTATAACCACGGATAATAATTTGTGAACCGCTTTGAGACGACCTACGAACTACGTTATGATAAAGCAGTATATAAGAACCTCGAATTATTATCATTAAAGAACTCTTACCATGATCGGTAATTTGGCGAAAACAAATTTTACATCAAAATTTGAGTTTTGTCGTTTGGAATGACGTCGAAGTATAACTGTTAAGCAAGGTTGAAACTGATATTTCAATAACAAAGACATGAATGTCTATATAAACATTACCAGAAGACCGCTGGATAATCTACTAAAAGGATGTTGAGTTTTATCAAAATTGGATGTAAAACGAATTCACGCTTTTTTTTTTCTTTTTTTTTTTTAATGAAAACAAATAACAGAAAATAGAATGGGAGAATGACGTTACGTGAAAAATTATGTCAAGTCCCTGTATATCTATATCATTATGAAAGAAAGTTTAAAGAATTTTTCAACAGTTGTGATTCTTACTTTAGCATTTTCTCCAATGCCCACTAAATGTCAAATTTGCGAAAACAAACCTCGTAATTTGACCCTTTAGCGAATCCGCAAAAGTTAGAAACCACGAAAAATACTTTGACATGATACATTTTAAGAATGTATTGTCCTCCTGATCAAAAAGGCTGGTTAGGCCTGTTGACAATTTACAATGTCGATTGAAATGAAACCCCACAATTTTTTTCTGGAACAAATCAGCAAAGAATTCACCCACTAAAATATAATGTATCACATTCATGTCCATTTTCTATGAACACCCAGTTATAGTTTCACAATCCTTATGTTATGGATCCACGTACAACTGTTAGAAACTGTATTCCCGAATTGGAGGGTTTGTTTTACTGGCATTACAATAAAGTCCTGACCAGCGATAATACCCTGACTTAGTCCGACTATAGTTACAGTCAGTGTATATCTGAAATGAAACTAAAGGGAGGTAAATGTATGTATACAAAATCAACAATGGATTTGTCAAATAAGTTTGTCTACAGTGGGACAGGGATCCTTAAATCTATAATCATACATGTGGTTAATTCTTTTATTGGGTTAAGAGACATTTCCATATAAAATATTTCCAGGAATATATCGCTTGATTTTCTGTCCAAATCGGTAAATTTTGTTAAAATTTTCTGGGAATAATCTAAATTTTGTGTATTATAGATGGGAATCCCGAAAACAAAAACTACAAAAAAATACACACAAACCGTCATAATTGTAAATAGAGAAAGCGACGTCCCCCTGTCAGAAATGGACATACATAGGAAATAAGTCTAACCCACAGACGTTAATACCAAGGTGAAAGCAATTCTTGCAATAATAATCGCTATATAGAGACTGCTCGAATCCTACTTATACATCATATGCATATCATAAAAAAATTGCAGTGTCTGTTTCTTATTTCGATTAAACAACAACAACAAAATAGACTAACGGTACCATAGCTTCAATAGACAAATTCAAAGACACATACTTCAACAAATAACAGAAAGAAAAGTAAATAGTTCTAGAGAAGTCAGATCTTATTCATCACCCGTTAATACAATGGAATTAATCATACACATAGAAAGAAATGTATTCTAATACACGGAAGCGATTCGCGTTATTATAGAAAAATAAGTATTACAACGTCAACGCACAAATGCACAATCATATATGATACCCAAAGAGCAGAAACCGTGAATCCTTATCAAATACGAGATAAATAAATATCTTTATTTAACGTCGTGTACCATTATCACCAACAAACATAAGCTCTGCAGAGCTTTTATAACGTCGCTGCGAAATGAACAAATAAAGTTTCCGTGTTGGAGGAAAACCCAGGGGAGGAAACCACCGTGCCATCGGAGGGATAACAACTAACCCTATCACACATCACTCTCTTATACGGCCACCGCTTGGGATCGAACCTAAATTATTGGGAGAGTGAGTGGTCTGCAGTTCATGCTTGATTGCACAGAGTACAACTGACTGTGCGCGATAGCGATCACGGCTGTCGAGCAGTCTCTATATAGCGATCACGGCTGTCGAGCAGTCTCTATATAGCGATCACGGCTGTCGAGGCCCCCAAGATACAATTGTATATGTGGTTCGCAGACAAGGATGATATCAAACGTTTAGCTTGTCTTCCTTCCGTTATATGTCCATAACTCCTAGGTTGTAATGTGCAAACAGTCAAAATGTACATTTAACACACGTGGCTTGTTCGGGATAGAATATTTATCCCACTGCATGATCGTTTGAGGTGACTTTTGCAAAACCCGATGCAGGACAGAAGTTTTCTTATGTCGCCACTTATTAGGAGACATTTGAGAAACGTATATTAATTTATTGCACCGATTTTATCACTAAGGACCTCTATTATTCTAAAAGCTTATCAATGACTTCTCCCTGGTTCGTTATCAGACTAATATGATAATGTAATAAAAACAATATGATTTATTTTACTACAATGTTAAACAAGCTATATCAGTCCTGTGACCTCGCGGGGTGTCAAGCTACTGTGACACCTTTTTAGTGAACAAATCGTGTTTTGACACCATCCTTAAAGTTATATTACCTAATGCAATGATGTACAACCATGGAGAAACCAAGCTTTCTTCACACATAATATAATGGTTGATGTTTTGTTTAATAATCCCTGCCCCAAAGCACACTGGATTTTTGTATGTAAATATATACGTGTAAATGTCCTTTCGACGACGGCCATTGCGTATGTATACTTACAATTCGAGTTTCAAAAAATCTACTATTGCACTTTCTCTTGGTACATCTCTACAATGGCCTCTTTCAATGCATATGTCATTTCAGCAATAAAATGCATTCTGGCCCGTGTTATGGTCATATAACACGGATCAGGATTGCAGAAAAAATGAATATGATTATTTGGCTGCAATCCTGTTCCGCGTTACAGGACCATGGAACAGAATGCTGTTTTATGTTTATATTATATTCGGATTTTTTTTATTATTATTTATCTTAGTTCACAACGCACTTTTAAATTCGAAGTGAAAAAACAGCTCGTGGAAATAAACACAAAAAGGTCGTTACTAGTTCCAAAATTTAATCAATCAATATATTGAATTCACATTTTATAATAGTCGTACATAAAGCGGTGAATATTTATGAATCATGGTGTTGTTGTTTTTTTGTTGTTTTTTATTTTTGCTTATCTGCTTGCTAGTGCGGTGGTGAATAGAGATCCTGTAGTGAGTCGGACCCGTTGAGACATCACTACGCCTGTTTAATGGTCTCATAACACGGAACTGGCCTGTAGGTGAACTCTTTCGACATAATAATGATAACTTTTCCTTAAGAAGAAGCACATACTTCCCGGTACTTGAAATACAAAAACGACTGTACTGTGTGATACTACAGTGTATTGGTACATAATGGACACGTGCCCGTTGTTGTTTGGTAAAGTTACCGAGCCGCAATCTGTCGGGAAAACTGAGGCTAAAATTGCAGTCATAAAATTCCATAAATACTATACACATATTGGTTTGAACATATTTAAAACTTCAATGACTTATATTGTATCCAAAACGAACGTGTGCAACCTTTTCCCGACTACTTCCTATCTCACCAGAAGTAGGGTTAAGGCCATGTTTACGTCATTATTATGCATTTGCGAATTCACGAGATGTCACGACAGCAGAATCCAACGAATATCGACTTTATCTTCGACTGGGTCAGAGGTAACGTTTACACAACACACGTGCTGAGTGCTACTCTTAGCCGATTCTGCTCTCACCTCCAAAGGAAATGCTCTTCTTTGTTGCCGACAAACCCTTTTTCCTCACTCAACGCACTCTAGTCGTCTCTTATTGTGCATCAAATCGGCTTTCAATGAAAGAATGGGAATAATTTTAAATTTGCCATTTCATGGACAAGCATGCTACTTGCCAAATGTCATCATCATGAGCCTTCTGATTATTCAGACATCCAATCAGCATTTTCTATTCAATTTTAAAAGATGAATATTTTCAGCACATAAGAAACTTAATTAATCATACTTACATAAGTATATTGATTGATTAATGTATTACACCGTAAACAAAATGGAAATTCTGAACCATCAATCATCCTATTTCTGGTAGTTAGGAAGGTATTCTAATGGTTAGCAGTACTACATTTGACATGTGTGCGTGTTTATGTGAATACTAACTTTCGTTATTTCTTATCTATGGCAGATGGTAATGGTCACAGGGAAAGCACACTTACACTTGTATAGCCCTGAAGTGTAGTCCTACTTCGTTCTTTTGTTTCTTACACGTGTAATTGAAAATGAGACCAAAATTACTTGTCTTTATCGGTACCACTTTATGTTTGATTATTGTAATAGCATGGACATTAGGACATCACTTTACCTATTACGGTATGTATTTTTTCTGCAAATTATGTTGACCATTGTAAACGTAAGCTCAGGGCCATGCGTTTGTTAGGAATTATATTAATGCATGCAAAATAGTTATTTCTGTTAATAGTGACATGTTTCAGTGTTTTATTTAAAGAGGAGTATAAAACATTACCTCATAATATTGACATAGATAAGTGTTAAGCTGCTTTATGTCTTAGGCCGGGTGATGGTCTACCATGCGTGATAGGTTCATTTCTGATGTAGGGAATGAAATAATAGCATGTCCTCCGGAGTACTTCTGCGTTTGCAAGATGAAGGTGTCTTATGCTGAACGCCCATATGAGAGTAATAAATACCACACATTTGCTCACGGTAACTGCAAGTTCGGGAACTAACTTTGTTCTAAATTCTGAATAAGTAGTACATAAAACAGATGTTTTGATATTAAAACTTTCAAAACTATATCGGATGTCGGTTTGGAAATATGACGCAATGTTAATTTTACAAGTGATGTCATTAATTTGTGATTTTGGTTATCAAAATAATATCTAGCGTCAAAACAGTGTTCATCTTTCATCGCCTGACAAAAATGAATTAAAACAAACTTTATATAAGCTCTTGAAACTGCTAAAGTTTATCGTATATACATGTACCATACGTTTCCTGCTCTTTCAAAACATGTTACTAGTTTGCAAACAATTTTCGAGTTTTACCAAATTTCCGTGTGAGAGGTGGACGACAAGGGTCAATCATTATAAAAGTATTGAGGATATGAAAATCCTCCCCTAGTGTGTACAATTCGGGCGTCAAAATGTCGGTAAATTATTGGTTCTGACCAAGATTCTATACCCTCTGATAGCTGTTTCACATCCATATACCTACTCGTGCTAGGCTATATTGTCACAGGTTGATTAGAGATGTAGGTAGTGAAACAGTTTCACTTTGCCTCAAAAAAGGAAAACACAAATGATTTAGCGTGAACAATAGAAATGACGTTACTATATCACTAAAGAGATCTGAGATGACATTATGCAAATTCGCATTTTTTGTTTTAATTAAGAACCGTTAAGTTTACAGTTAATTTGTACATTAGCCAATATGTATCTACAATTTTCTACACGACGACATAGGATTTATATTTTCTATTAGTTTCGCACCATCGTTAAGTCTCTATCATTATCCCAACAAAGTAATGTGTAATCAAATATATTGACACTTCCGGCAACTCATAATCGGTAACATTTAACTGGTACAGTATAGGTACTGATAAGATAAGAATAAGACGTCTCTCGTACGTTTTTGGACTTGCACTCATTCATATACTTTAGATGTGTTTGTAAATTACATGTAAGCAGGAGAAAGGATGATAAATAAACGTCATAGTATAATGACTTGTAAATATCTGGCAATCTGATTGGCTGTGAACTGCTCTTGACGCATGGTGGTTGATTATTATACATGAGTCAGCGTTAGAAGCACTTACTAGAAAATAACACAAGCTACGATTTCTTTCCTTCTTGTTCCTTTATTTATTTTGTTTATTCAATTATTCTCTCGTGTTGTTTTTCAAAAGATTTCGGCTACATTTTGTTCCAGATAGATTTTTTTCATATTTCATCTTGGGAGTCGAATAACATGTTATACACAGGTCCTGTGAACCATGCACTGACTTTTTTTAAAGCCATGCAATGGTTTTTTTTAAGAATTTGTTTTCTATATCTCAGAATTATCAAAAAAACACATTAATTATACATAGAATGTATTAAATAAAAATAAAAGAAATACATTATCATAAAAAAATGCCAAGAGAATGCCATTTTTTTCTTATAAAAAAATCCTGGCATTGCGTCGACCTGTGTGCCGATGGAAAACGACAAAAAGAGGAAAAACATCAAATGTGCATTTAGTCATATCAGATAAAATTCCTATTTACCAAGGCTACAATAGGGTTAAGTCATGTGATAAAAGCAAAACCACACACACTTTGCCTATTTATTCAACCATCTGTGATGCATGCTACATTGTACCTTTGTGATATTTTATTTTTTCTATCATTTATGATTATCATATATAGTCGTAAGAATAGCTCTTCTGAGCTAAAGTTGCATTGTTACAAACACGACTCTAAATAAAAATTCTTGTATCTTGTATCTTGGTTGTATATTATCCAAAATATTGCCGAAAAGGTGATCGGTAGGGGCTATTTTGGTAGCAGTCAAGTACAACTCAAACTCACAAAAAGACTTATTATTTTGCAAGAAAAAAATCCATGGTGACAAATTCGTTACCCCTGGGTTAGGAGGGGTCTACGAGCTCATAGACCCCATCTGGTCTTTGGCACAGGGTCTTTAAAGACCGGATGGGTCTATGAGCCCGTAGACCCCTCCTAACCCAGAGATAACTAATATTAGTCGGTGTTTAAGGAAAATTCTTGATTCATAGAAGAGACATGCATATAAATGTACTGGTATATGTATAATACCGCAAAAATATCTCACAATTTTTGTATAACTGTGCGTAATGTTAAATGTTGTTGTTACTGGAACCACTATCTTTATAAATCATGCTGGTTTTTCCTTATCTGCAGAGTTATTGTAACGTTATGACTGCACATTTTATGTTACAGCATTTGATCTTTTTCATAGTAAAGAGACACCGCTCTTAGAACAAACGGTAAGTAAATTGCATAAGATCTGAAGAAAAGCGACTGACACAATTCATATGGGATACTAAATCAACATCACAACTAATCAAGTTCCGTTTGTTACACCTTATTTGATTGGCTGTCACGGTTCTGAGAATTGTTATGTGTTAAAAGATTTTTTATTGGACAAAACATACTGCTTGCTTTATTTGTTATTTGTTCATAAAAAGAATATCATTGATAGTACCTTTTTTTCCTTTTTCACATTTTTTTCACATTTTTTTCTTCAATTGTGTAATTATTGGAACTTTAATATTGCTTCCTTCATTTCCAATGTTAAGGGTTTTCTCTTATGTGTACTTCGCATCATGAAAGACTTTTAAATACAGAAACTCACATGACACTGATACTAATAGATCCTAGAATTTGTGACACAGGTAAAACCAGACAGATTTCATCATGAGCTAAGTTATCGAAACATACAATATACCTGTGTATTTGTATGGTGGCTTTATTTTCGGAATATTTCTTATCTTTGATAACACAATATCCTTAAATCTGGTTTTTTCTTTACAAAAACATCAAATTTCCATACCTTCATAAAGAATCGGTAATTTTTCTGTGCTTGTATATAAATGGTATATTCATGTATTTATATCCTGTCAAATAACTCATTACTTTGAAGTATAAAATTTACAATTATATATATTATGTATTACAGCATTCCGGAAAATGTTCACTGCAGTAAGCTTTCGCTTTTTTCACCCTTCGTACTGAGGGAACATTGATCATGACAGTAAATATGAAAACACAATATACTTTACAAAACAATTACATGTGAAGGGCAAAATTATCAGTGGGTCAATGTGGATTGTTCTACTAAAACGCAGAAGTTTGATTAAGTATGATACTGCATGTTCCTGATATACAGTACTATTCTTCTATGATTTGTGTTGTAGCAATAACATTTACTTTTCTTACTTGTTCGTTATTTACAATTTTGATGAATTAAGTCATTATCTAATATTCCTTTACACAGCTGGATATTGATTTAATTTACTCGATGTCGTCTTCCTTCCAAAATTTATATTCATTGTTTTCTCAGATAAAATTTAAACAAATCACCACAGCATCGCATCTCACTACATCAACGGTGCAAAGACCTCAACCTGTTCAATTGGATTCTTTACGTAAACAGAGACGCGACCATCTACTGAAGGCGTGTGAGGCCGATGACGTCAGATACCACGGAACGTACCAGGTATTAAGGATTCCTCTCCCATTATAGGCAAAGCTCTGGAAAATTCCACTGTAGTTTTTCGTACACACAGTACAACCACTGTTTAATTTTGTTTAAGCTATAGCTAAAAAAAAGGCGACGTTGCTCAGGTACTTTCGTTGACCAGGTAGCTCAAGAGGTTTGAAACACAGGGTTATCATTATAGAGGTCAAGTTTAATCCTGGTCTAGTTCCGGTGCAATTTTAGACTAACATTACTAAAAATGGCATGTTTACATTAATATCACCGGTTTTTTTTATCTTTTTTATTTTAACATCCTGCAAAGTATTGCTTTTTTCATACATGAGTTATCAAAGAAGTACGTATGCTCAAAACAGGTTTCAAATGCAACATTACAATGTTTTGCAGTAGGACGGGTACATGTATCTTTGATATTAATCAAATGATGTAAAGGTAAAAGTTTTTACATTATAAAAATGTCGTGTTATGACCTTTCAAACTTTCCTCAGTGTATGTAAAAAGTGTTCGCTTGCTTTTGGAGTTTTGCTATTATATCAAATTTGAATAGTTCAAATGTATTTGACGGGTGTATATGTTCTTGTGAAATTTCACAAATTTGTGAATATCAAACGGTATAATATATTCAGATATCCTCTAAGCTATTAACTCCAGATGATAAGACTCATGTTTTAGGTAAACATCAACAGAATACATGTGTGAGGATTTAGATATTTTTTGTTTAGACTGATGTTTGCATGACTCCAATATAGACATGACCTTGTACAGAACATTAAGTATTATTTGTATTATTATCATCCGACCAGGTACCGTACACCGTACAGGAGCGTATGCAGGTTTCGAAGAAACATCGCCTACTCTACTGTGGACTGGAGAAAGCCGCGTCCTCTTTCATGAAGAGGATCTTCATGGTAAGTACCAGTCCGGGTATCATAGGTGATTTTGGTCGAGTTTTTGTCTTTTTATTTGCTACATTCCTCGCTCTTTTTTTCTAAGTCCTCGACCCCGAAGACAAAACTACCCACAGCCCAGGTTTGGGTAACCCCTTGCCAAACAATCACCCAGTACTTGACACAAGAATTGGTCATATGCACTACTGTTACAGGAGAGGAAAAATGATTCGAATGTTGTATATATCCTATTATTCGACGTAATATGTTTATTGACTCAACCGATCAGCAAATTAATGTAACAAATGATGAAGGCCAAAAACAAGACCAAATAAATATATCTTCATTGTGATTGTACTTACACGAAGTAGATCATCTGTCACAGTTTCGTAGCTTTGATTGACAGACCTGAGTTAGGTAGTTCCCTTTGTTCTTTTTATCATAAATAATTTGTTTGCAATTTTATTACAGATACTGAACGGAGCAGAGAAAAAGTCACCGTATGATATGCCGACAGGCTTAGCTGGTTTCGGGGTCCCCAACTTGTCAGATTTTAAGCCAGCGACAGTCCCAGATATGCTGCAAAATTCCACCATTGTTATCATTAGCCGAGATCCTTATACCCGGCTTCTCTCGGCATACATTGACAAGATCTTCTCTCCAAATGCAATATTCGCTGATAAAATTGGCAAATTTGCTCTACCGTTAACTAGAAAAGAGCCCTCTGAACAGAGCCTACGATGTGGCTTCGATCTTACGTTCAAAGAATTCATCAAATATTTTATACAATCAGAAAGCAGTGGCCTTCACCGAGACAATCATTTTGCCCCCGCCTATCAAATGTGTTTACCCTGTACGTATGATTACAATTACATAGCAAGAACGGATACATTACTGAACGACACCGTGTATCTCCTCAGTCAGCTAGGCGAGAAACAACTTGCGGAGAATCTACAGGTGAATTTTACAAGCAGGAATCGTCAGGATAAAATCAAAGGCCAGCCGAATTTACTATTTATGTTCAGAGATAAATACAAAGGCTGTTTGTCCTTCTTTGATGCACAAAGAAAAATTTGGAAAAAAATGCAAGCAACAGGTGTTATTGATAAAAAGTCGAAATATCCTATCTCGCGAGAAGAAAGTGAAAACATTACACGGACTTCGTTTGAAAGACTTTTATTGGCGGCAGTCGGTGATGCTTATGACGTCACAGTTGGTAAGCAACAACGAAAAGAGGCGGCCATTGAGGCGTATTCTACAGTCGACAAAGAGGATCTGGAGAAACTTAACAAAATATTTGCCCCAGACTGCAAGATTTTCAACTTCAATTGTAGACCGTCGAAGTTTTTCGAAACAGATCCAAAGATCAAACCGTGGTATTTTGATCTTGAGACTGCCTGATTTTTATTGATTTATTTTTCTTTTTTAAATTTCATACTGTGAAAATGGCAATCAAATAGATAACATATGTTTTATTTACGGCATTTAGAGAAACTGTACAAAACTCAAAAAACTAATATCAAACTACGCTATAAATATTACATAACGAATGATGCTTACAAATTGTAAGATGAAATAATTTGTATAAGCTTATATCTTCTTATTGAAATACCTTTCCTGATTATTTGACACGTTTCAAAGCTTTTCGTTGCCTTATATGAATTGATCAATTGAATTATCGAACGAAAAAACTTATAACTCAGCACTGTAGTTAACTACCTGTTTGTATTTATGCTTTGCTACATTGTATCTTTACATCTAATCAAAATTGAATATATTGCAATAGTTTTATCGATTTGGAGTTCGAATAAGTTTTTTTAAACACTTCGGTATTCTTTTGCTTTTTTCTTATATTATTAATCGAAAATATCCTTACCAAAGGCTAAAAATAGAAATGTAATCACGCAATATCGGTGCCAAATATGGTACTAAAACGTTAACTTTCCCCCGCATCTTCTAAATCCAGAAGTTCCATTCTCGAATTACAAATTTGCTTGTACATCATTTGGTTATGTAAAGGCAAACTTGAAGGTCATGTATATGAACGTTCCACCTTGCAGTAAATACGAGGTTAGAAGTTTGTTTTTTGTCACAGATTTCCTCAAACCTTTTATCTGTTTGATGCAAGCAACACATGAATCATGCGATAGCATAACGGCAAAATTGACCGCCTTTGATATTGGTGTAGCTCCTCTGTAGTCTTTTAGTGACACGTATCAGCCTAGCGATTGGTCATTTTTTATGTTTGCAGCCAATGGAATGGCTTACCGTGAACCTTCGAATTCGCCATGACATCGCTTAAGGGTGCAGAGAAGATAAGCATATCGAACGCGGATTTCGAATATGTTTCATCCGGAGAAATTTTATTTGTTTTCTGGTTTTCACTTTGATCCGTGACGTTTTCCCCTGTTGTATTTATCTCAATTGTTCTTTTCTTGTGATTTCGTATCGGTTCTGAGTGTTATTTCTGTCCTTGTTTTTTCTCTCAAAAGGATAATGCTTACATATATCCATGTAGTTTAATCAATACAAATCAGTTAACACAATAAAATATCAGTAGATGTTTTATTTTTATTATTTATATGCTTGAATTTGCGTAAAGTCATATGATTGTAAATGCATAAGTAAATTATTGATTATATAACAATGGTCGATTTTGTCAATAAATATAATATGTTGATAAACGGTTATCATTTCCCCATAGTACCAATATAATGCTATGAAAAAAACATGTATTATTTATCATCAACATTGCCATGACTACACCAATAGAACATATGCTAACAACGAAATAAACAGTTATACAATAGATTAAACCATGTAATAAAACCGCCAAACTTAATACTGTGAAATCACTAGTTTTCGTGAGGTTTTCAATTTCGTTGATTTCGTGGGTAATCTTCATCAACGAATTCAAAGGTCCACAAGTTTGATATATAGCAATTATCCGCGTGAGTGGGCATTTGTAATCCAATATTTCATGTACCCAAGAAATGGTGTTTTGTCGGGAAACCGCGAAATGTAGGCCTCACGAAAAATTCTTATTCCACAGTTCATACATTACTAGTAAAACTCATATGATTCACAGGTATACCAGAACGTGTTCTTCTATTTGCAATGGATTTTTTTCTGTATAGCAATTTTAATTAAACATCTTAAATCGATCATTATCTATATTTTAATTCCAATGCAAAAACAAGAACCGGAAACTAAGCCTTTGGCACAAAAAGGAACAGGTAAACAATGGAGAAAATGTGATATTGAGCGTATCAAAATATTGTAAAACGTTATATCGTTTTAATGGACTTCGTGACTTTTAATCGACTTTATCTCTATTTGTGTTCCATTAATTTCCAGTTTTATAAAAGAAAATCATTCTTGAGGAAAATTTTGGTATCAAGGTATGAAAAAGACATCGCTTAAATTGCAATTTAAATTCATTTAAATCGTCAAATTCATCCAGGTTCAAGATGAACTCCATTCAGTCAAGTGAAATGTCAACTCTATCCCATCTACATAAAGGTCATTTCCGTTTATTAATATGAAATGTCTTCTCCGTCATTTACATGTAAGGTAAGATTGGTCATTCAGGTAAAGAAAGACTACGTACCAACACATCAAAGATCACGTTCGCCTATACAAGTGAAATACCATTTCCGTCCTGTCATTTAAAAGGTAAGGTCCTTTCTTTCAGGTAAATGTTATCTCTATCAATTCAGTTGAAAGGTCAAATATGCCAGCACAACGAATGAGAATTTCATCTCTTCATATATCAGATCTTATTTTCTACACATTAGTCTTTGTACGTCACCTGAAATGTCCATTCCATTCAATTTGACAAAAGTAAAATGTGTCAAGATATGCAGATAGTCGGTTTCACACATTTAGGTATAGTTCAACTCTATCTCGTCGTGTGAAAGGTTGGGTCAGTCTGTTCCGTCATGTGATAGATCACTTCTGCATATTTAGACATATCTGAAATCTTATCCCAATGGTCAGTTCCAGATCATTCGTGCACCTTCTTTAACACGTCTTATCACTCATTATTCAATACATTTAAATGTAAAAGAAAATTCCATGACGTCACAGTTCAGTATTAAAGTTCTCTTTTCTGACCTGTATTACAATTTTGCCAGGATAACATATTGACATTACTCGCCATGTACAGCAGTATTTTTTTCATTCTTTTTATTACGTATCATTGCTCATTAATCAATACAAATTAACGTCAAACATATTTCAAGACGTCACAGCTCATCTTTGACGTCCTCCGGTCTGACCTCGATTACAATTTTTCCAGTGTTGGCATTACTTTCCATGTACTTGTGAGCATCAGATATGTTCTCCAATGGGAACACTTTGTCAACAATCGGTTTCAATTTTCCCGAGTCGAAATGGTGGAGAGCTGCGTCCGTGAAGTTCCTTACAAGATCGCCTTTGTACTGAAATGCAACCCGATAGAAACGTCACTTGCAATATATTTATTGACTTATAATATCGTACACATTGGTGTTCGTCATCTAAAATGTAGAAAATCAGGCATGTGCTCAACGGTTGGATACAAGTAAATACATGTAGATTGCTATGCCTCAGCAATCACTAGCGCCACAAAACTGGTACATTGTACAACTTGACAGTCGGCAAGCATATGTGTCCTTATGTTCTATGTAACCTGACATATTGTACGAGGTAACGTCGGATATCGTGTTCCGTCTATCACATTGTTAAAACCATTTATTATAAAACCCAACACAACAAGTGACAAAGGACTTTTCATTATTTGAGCACTAGCGTTGAATACTATTTTAAAAACATAAATCAAGAGAGCAATAAAACATATTCAAACCCCCCGAAGGATATTTCTTGATTTTCATGATAAACGATATTCTTCGGAAACGTGCCTTTCAAGTAAGTTTGCCTTGTTATTACTACAAATTTTTTTATTTATTTTTTGTATCAGTAGCGAAATGATTCTTAAAGATTTAAAAAAAACAAATATATGTGTAGTTTTCTTGACGTGAACGATATTGGGACTAATTGAGCAGTTATAATTATCATTTACCTGTATAGATCTCGCCCGTAGTGTGGTGCCCGTGATAGAAATTCTCTTCCTCAACATTTTCGCTAACATATCTCCATTAACGTTTCCTCCACCTGAAAATTTCAATTTTCAAATCAATAAATGGACATTATATCTCTCCTTATCAACCAATGAGCACTGGATATACCATAAACAAATGAACAGTCTAGATGTCTTCCCATCAACCAATAAGCCCTTTGTATTTCTCCCAGCCAAACAATAAACGGTCTGTTACTGGAGAAGCTGCGAGCCTATGGGCTGGATGAGTTTGCATTGAGACTGATCACCAGCTACCTCAGGGACAGATACATTGTAGCAGCGGATCAGGCTTGGTCCTAGTGTCAGCGGCTGGGAGATGCTCAAGATGGGGTTCCCCAGGGGTCAATTGTTGGACCTCTAATTTTTGATGTATTTTTAAATGACATTTTCCAATTTGTTAAAACCAGTAGCCTCTACAATTATGCTGATGATAATACCTTGTCGCATAAAAGTAAAAATGCAGTTTTCCTTAAGGAAGTTTTAGCAAATGAAAGCCATTTTAATAAACTGGTTTAAACAAAATGGCATGAAGGCTTATCCTGATCAGTTTCAGCCTATATGTATTGGGGTATAAACTGTTGAACTTCTTACATCTTTTAACATTGGTAATCTAGAAATAAAGTGTGAAAATTGTGTTTAACTCTTGGGTGTAGACCTAAACAATAGCCTTAAGTTTGAAAACCATATTGCAAATGTATGCAGGAAAGCCTCCAAACAGTTGTATGTGTTAAAACGAATTGGAACTAATCTAACAAGAAAGGGCAAAATTTCTATTTTTAAATCTTTTATCTTGTCCAATTTTAATTAATCACTTCTGTAACCTTGCCAAGACCAGGAAGATGGGGAGAATTTAGGAGAGAGACACACGATTTATTGAAAATGATTATACATCTACATTCAGAGATCTTTTAAAACAAAACAATCTTGACTTTTTACATATAGGCAGGCTAAAGAAGTATATAAGATTTTAAATAAGATAGCGCCAGATTTTATTAGTGACCTTGTGGAGAATAATAATGTCTTGTATAATTTCAGGAAAAACAACACCATTACGGTACCAAGGGCTGTAATACTACAATGTATGAAGAAAACATGTCATTTCGTTTTAAGGCCGCTGGTATGGAACAGCCTGTCTAATGAAATAAGGTGTGCTGAATACTATAATGCCTTCTGCAGGCTGTTGCGTATCTGGGATGGCCAGTCATGTAGTTGTGCTATATGCGCGGAGTAAATGTCTAGCTTTTATGGTTTTTATTTCAATTTATGTTTAGCTTTTCCCCTTAACTGATCGTGTTTTCTTTTAACTTATGCTATATAAGCATATATTCTGATAATTTTATTTTTTTGCCATAATGGCATATATGTTTATTAGGCATCCATGCCATTTAAATCATTTCTTGCGTGTGGCATGAACTTTATGCCATATCACTCTTAAACTAATTTTGTATTGTTGTTAGTGCTATATTGTTGTCTGCTTGCTTACAAGTAGTAACTTGTGCATGCTGTGATATGTATGTATGTAATTATTGTTGTTTGCTTGCTTACAAGTGGTACTTGTGCATGCTGTGATATATATGTATGTATGTATGTATGCATTTAGTTTTGCTTGCCTAGAAGTGGTACTTGTGCATTTCTGTAATATATTAGTATGTGGTTATGTATTGTTGTGTTGCTTGCTTACAAGTGGTACTTGTGCATATGTATTGTTGTTTTGCTTGCCTCGAAGTGGTACTTGTGCATTCTGTGATATATATTTATGTATATATGTATTGTTGTTTGCTTGCTTGCTAACAAGTAGTACTCTGATTTGTATTGTTCAGTCCCTTAAGCTGTTTTTATTTTGTATTCAACATGCATGCTGGGATATTTTTATTTTGTTTTGTTTTTTATATGCATTTTATTCATGTTTTGTCGTAATAATAGCTCGACAAAACTAATGTTCATTGTTTAACATGTACGACTCTAAATCAATCTTCTTGTATCTTGTATCTTGTATCTAGATTGATATCTTATTATCAACCAATGGACATTTCAGATTTCTTCTGGTCAACCAATGAAAACTGTATATCTATCTTTTCGTATAACCGTTTGGTAATTTTGTTAAATTAATTTCATTATTTTTAAACATTTGTGCATTAGAAAGAGTAGTCACATGCACATAATCTTTGAGTAAACATTTTCAATCCAAGAATAGGCATATTTTTCAGTTTTCATTATTCTCAGAAAACGTCGCGTACTTTTAAAATTTCAAAATGGAGCTTGGTACAACAAAAGGACGTAAAGTTTGCGTATCTTGTGTCACCTTAACAATATACAATGTTAGTATCATTGAGGCCTTGATAAGCTATATTGAAAACTGCAGTCCTTTCTTTTTGCATATTAAATGTGATTTTGTGAGCCTCCTCTAGATTGTAAATATTTCGTTTTAGTTCTGCTTAATTCGGTTTTTCTTAATCTTCTTTCCCTATACGACAAAAAATATAGGTATCCAACCACTTATGAAGGTGTGTCTTGTATTTGCCCCTAGGGAAAGGTTTTCTTGAGACATTACCACTGTTTTACCAAGGGTAAAACAAATATTTGACTTGTAATTTGTCCTTTAACGATGTTAGCAGCTTTTCATATTTTATTTTATTAGCAAAATTTCCAGAACGACTTACCTAGAAGACCGTACAACACCCAACGTCCATCTGTTTTGATACTTTGCATATTCTGATCGTAAAACGATTCCCCAACACAATCCAATATTAGGTCCACACCTTTACCTAAAAAACAAAACAAAAGTAAATCTGTGTATAGTTATAAAAGCTCTGTTGTCAAACAACTGTTGAAGACCTGATAATTTTTTAATATTCATTTCTTAAAAGAGGTCGACTGAGAAATGAGAAATCATTCAAAGTTAACGGATTATCGTCCAAAAATACCGGCTTCCTACTGTTACCTCAAAATGCCAATTCTTTTAATTTTCAAGTATTGATTCATTTAAGTTTCACATTTTTCGCATTTTCATAAGGTCAGAATAAACAAACATACTGGTATTATCTGATATCAGGAAAAAAAGTCTCCATTAACGAACGGAACAGAACAGTTTTATTGAAACAGTCAATAACGCTCAGAGTAGTTAGTTGCTTAAAAATATATATATATATAAATGCCAAAAATAACCGAATTTACAATTGTATGAGTTTGATTACCCTTGGTTGCCTGGAGAACGCTAGGTCCAAAATCTCCCTCTTTATAGTTGAATCCCTCTGCTGCCCCTAATTCCTTTGCTTTGCTTATCTTCGTCTCAGAGCCGGCTGTCACAATAGGTGTGGCCCCGACTAAGCTTGCCAGCTGTACTGCAGCTGTCCCCACCCCCGAGCCTCCAGCATGGATAAGGACGCTCTCCTCGGCCTGTATCTTACCTAGTAAAATTATTTATTTGGATATGCTACAGACTAAAAACGTTGCCGCTTATACATCGTACATGTACATATCTGACGTTCAATTCGAGACCAAGATCAAAATGTGAAAAAAAAGATGTATTCAATGGTGTTTATGGTAGCATTCATCAAATACACAAAACTAGGTACTGACGCAAATCTTATTATTTCAAAAAACAAATTGTATTGTATACACTTCGAAAAACGTTATTCACTGTTGTTGTTCGCCATGATACCTCCAACTGCCTTTCAACAGTGGGCAACTGTATGACTTTTCGAGAGTTCTATTCGATGACAAAAAATTATGATAGACATTCAACTGCAATTCTACTATCCACTTCTTGAAAATGTTGAATTTCGTTTCGTTTAATCAATATTTTGTCGAATCATGATTTTCATTTAGTCATCTTCATTCTTGCAACAACAAAAAAAGAGTAAAAATTCGACGCTATATGCTAGTATATTTTGTGCTATAACTATTTCCCTTGCATGTACATTAATTCTAGGTTGCCACGCATTTGTTGATCAGATTATTTTTGAAGTGCAATTTAGTTTAGTTTTTCTTAGTATGGAATCTTTAGGAAACTGATGCATCTTGCATTAATATACCATACATCCTAAATTAAGTGTATTGATTACAGATGCAATGACACAGTGATTACTACATAGTATAAACCTTAGTGGGAAAGGGTATAAAAACAAAACAAAACTGTTCAACACAACGGTTTTCTTGCTTATAATGACGTACCGACTGTATGGAGAAGTTGAAAAGCCGTCAACCACACTTCCGGTATGGCTGCCGCCTTTGTGAAGGTTAATCCCGCGGGAATTGGCATCAGGAGATCCTCGTGTCCAGACACGTACTCCGCATTACCTCCGCCTACAGGAACGAGATCAAGGCGATTAAAATATATAAACACGATATCACTATGCAATGTGCACGTATCTAGTAAGTACCGTTATATCTATATTTACTCTGCACAATACAAAGAAAACCGCCATTACCAAATGTTATTAATTTCCCTATATCTGGAAATGTCACCAGAAAGGCAAAATACAATAGAAATTTACAACCGCAGTAAACTATGAATCCGCGCAATGTTGTTATAATTGTTAAGTGTTGTAAATGCATATATATGGATTATTATGAACAAATATAAAATAGTGTTGAAATAAAAAATAAACTTGTTGAAAGTATTATGTATATTGCTTCTTTCGGACTAATGTTGCTTGCTCGTTGCTATAAACACTATGCCAAGATTCCCGCGGAAAAGATCGGCCGTGTCATCAAATGTCGCTATTCCAACAGGTGTGGTTCCGTGCGTATAAGAATATTTCAATACTTATAAATTTGCTTTGAAAGGTCCAGATATGATTGAGTACATGGAATATAAATATAAAGATTTATTTTTCATTTTCGTAACGATTATTGGAGTGTAACAAACATTGAGGGTCCAACATGTTTATTTTGCTACATAATGATAAACAATCTTTAAATACATGTCTACGACCTCTACAGTCAGGAAGTGATTATTTGGCCACTTAAGGGTTATATTCAAGCACCACTTCACTTAAATGTCGTCACTTAAGACATGGATTGGTAGCACGTCACCACATTATGTCACATTAATCCAGAGACGGGAAATAAACCCGAATTGTTTTGATGGCGAATAACTCTTTATACTACCGAAGGAGCATCGATCAAAAGACTTAACTGTTTAATGTTTCAATTAGAAAATAAGATGTGTATGTTTCAGGTCATATGACTTATCAAATAGTGTAATTCGGTCGGGATTCATGTGATATTTTATTTCATTTTAATTCTATTTTTATTAATTTTTTCATTTTGTTTTTATTTTGAGGGATAAGATGGGCTTATTTAAAAAAAAAAAAAAAAAAACATATTCAAAAATGTTTTGACGAAATTTTTTGACCTTTGACCTTGAGGTGAAGATGACAGTAACTTATTGTTAGTGCATTGCATATCATCTTTTAGCGATGCAAATATGTTGCAATTTACCTCCTGATATCTTTAACAGATTAAGAGGTACGGTCCGGTCAGATGTTCTTGAAAATTATGCACATATTGTACAAGAAAAAGACAAGACAAGAAAAATAACAGTATGAAAACAATTTGCCTCCTATCATCCGAATTGAGACAAAATAGTCAGGAATATTTTGTCATAGTTTCATCTTTGGATGTCAAAATTGGTTTTAATTTCCATTTCTATTATTGTTTTTTCTTCTTATTCAAGTTCTTGATTTTCAAAAAAATATATGTTATTTGTGTCTTTTCCGTTTATTCTAAATATGACTTAGAAATTGGTGGCTATGAAACCCACACGTATAATCAACTGTGGATTTATCATACGACAGATGACCCAACCCACCATAAAAAAACCTTGTTAAATCATGAAATAGTTTCTCACCAGCTAGCAGTGTCATCACTCGGTCACCTACACTCCATCTACTGACACAGTTTGGTCCTATTGTCTCGACAGTACCGACAGCTTCCAAACCGAGGATTTCACTCTCACCCGGGGGCGGCGCATACCGACCCTTCCTCTGTTGAATAAAACAAACATAATTAAATCTATCTGTGATATAGGTTGTTTACATGTGCGATACAGTTACCTGTGCATATGCCGTATCCCGGCAACCGCCCTATTTGCTCGGCAAATACCATATCAATCTTACTTCCTGTTCAATTTTTTTAAAAATCACGCCTAAATTACATTCGAAACTTTTTATTGCTAAAACAATTTTGGTTCTTTTTTTTTTAGATATTTATGTTTTGTAGTATATGATAAAAACGTTACCCCTTATCAATCCTGAACCAACATCAGCCCTCGGCCTGCGGCTCCTAAGGGTATACGGAGGTCTCGTATTGAAACTGATTTTATATCTATACATGTAGATGGTTACATAATAACATGCATTTATCGGTTTCGTTGAAAAATAGAGCGTTGGTAATCTAGAAATAGCCTGTACAAAAATATAGAAAGAGGAAATTGTAGTGCCTATACCTGCAATAGACCTAAGAGCCAACGAGATTGCAAAAACACAACAGCTTAGTTCGAAAACCATGAGACATTTCTTTTTTAGATTTGGCCCTACCTGTAATATGTCCGCTCTGTTGATAGCTGTGGCATACACTCGTATCAAAACCTCGTGATCTCTGAGCTCCGGAATCGGCACCTTGCCAATGCGCATGCTAGACGCAGCGCCATCTGATCCGAACTGTACAGCATTCATCATCTATAATTTAACAAGTTACCACTTTTAGAATTATAAGATTTAAGTTGCATACAATATCATCAGTCAATAAGTTTTAAACTACACCCGGGTGTATGAAACATACACAAGACTTACTTGATGAGCATAATACAATCAAATTACTGAAATTACTGAAAGCTAAGGCAAAATATATATATATATTATTTTTGGAATGGAGAACAAAATAAAGACGATGTTCCCATCATATTGTACGGAAGTATTTACTGTTAATTTGTTATGAATCATAGTTTTATGTAAAAGTGTACCACTGTGAAGTTATTCTTCTTGTGTACATTGTATACAGTATATCTTTATAGGTTTGTCAGAAGAGGGGTACCAAGTTTCCTCTAGAATATATATCATTTTAGACCTTTGGATAATTAATTTGCATAGGAATTAGGAATTGCTTCCCTTTGTCCATACAATGTATTTCATAGAACATTAAAAACTGAAACTGGCATTTACCCCTTTGACCAATACCTGATTATTTTAAACCATTAAATAGATTATGCACAGATTGTGTTCATCTTTGAACTTTGCCTTTGTTGTTGAATAAGATATCAACCCTTGCCTTATCTAACAAAGTTACTTGGCATAAAACCATTGACCAATCAGAGTACAGTATGCTAATTAATTAGGCATGGATTTCACTCAACTTTGAACTTATCGTCTAAGTTTGTATATTGATCAATATATATTCAAGCAAGTTATCTTGTAAAGTGTGCACATCGACCAGGGTTGGCATGCTTTTTAATACGTGTGAATTTTGTTCAAGTTTCAATTTTGCATCAGTCAGTGTATATTGTTACAGAACAATATTTATAAGGATGTTTACTTGCCGAAACTAAATTGTGGATAAGCAAGTGGATTACTGCTACCTATAAATTTACAAGTCTCTCAATAATTTTGAAAAACTTTTAAATAAAGTGTTTTACATATTCACTGCAGTGAAAAGGTCTCTTCTTATGAAAAATGGAACTATTTTGAATCTGTGTTCCCATGAACAAATAATATAAAAAGCACTCTAATTCAATATGATACATTGTTGTATGTTTCAATATTGAATAAGATAAACAAAATATAAACATACATACTCACACACACACACAAGATTAGGAGAGTTACATTATTTTCCCTCTATTTCCATTGCATAAATTCTTCACAAAGAAAACAACAACTTTATAGCATATGTTCAGCTTTATCATCTTCATAGGCTAGCATTTGAAATAAGATGCACATATTAATTTCAAATACATTTCAAAAGAGTACTGCAAATGTACCAGCTAGAACACATACTATGTTATTACAGTTGTCATGATTGTTGGTTTCAGAACTGATAGCATTGTGCAACAAATGTTGACAACAGGACTTATTGAAAGTTGAGGTTGCTTGTGTATATGCAAACAGGTAGTGCATGATTTAATGTTGAGAATGATGGATCAAGGTTTATAAAATTTGGTTTGAATACTTAGTTAGGAATGCACTGACAATTTCTCTGTCACATGTACATGAACAGGTTGTGAAGCTGTAGCCTTCACCTTGACTGAATGAAATTGACCTTAAAACTGTCTTGAACAATTGATGTATGAAATTTAGAAATGAAGTTTCAAGAAATATGGTTGAAAACTTAAGAAATAATTGCTTTCATTGACATTGATACAATCTTGTGTGCTATCCCTCTCATATATCACACAAGATTTAATATCAAATGTTGGACACAGTAAAATCGAGCGAAGTTAACAAATATCAAGTTACATATTATAACTTTTATTTTATTTTATTGATATTGATCATAAGCATTGTTAAAAGTACAATGTATACCAGGGATCTTACATTTCTTTTACTACTTAACATTTGCGTTGACTTTTAATTCATTGGACAAAAACTAAAAGGAAGCCATGACCAGTATTTCTATCTTTAAAAACATACTTTTAATTTTTTTTCCAATTTGCTCCCACCACCCATAGTGTTATATTGATCAAAACAAACGTTGTTTCCAACATTTGTGCCCTTAGTCAGTAGTGGGTGTTCAATCACATTCATCAGGGTTTCAGCATCAAGTAGGGGCTGTTCAATCACATTCATCAGGCTTTCAGCATCAATATTCACAGATTCAATCTGTTCCAAGTAAAGATCACTGACTTCTCCATTAAGGAAAAGTTTGCGAGGAAAGCATTTGAACTACATTTGAACTATTCGCTGATGGAAGGATCTGTGGACTCGGCTTTCATGTGTCTGAGAGAAAATGATTTAGTCAGAGGTTCCTCCTCTATAAAGTAACTGACAGATTTCAAAATGTCATGTCACTGTTGGTATAGTTCTTGCAGCCTTTTGAAAAAGTTCATGAAGTCCTCAAAGGTATGAGAGAGTTGGTACAGTTCCTATTTCTCATCCTCCTTTCTCCCATCAATAACCATCCCTGTCTGTTGTAATATTGATTGCTTTCCCCCCCTAAAATAGAACATAGTTACCATATAATTTCTGCACCAGCAATAATGTTTAGAGATGATATTCAAACAAATAGGAGGCATAGCAATATGAGCTTGTATAGTGAGAAATAAGGCATTAAAGCTGAGGAGTTCATTAAAATGTTTCAAAAACATTTCAATAAGTCAATCTCTTTGGTAGCAGAACTAAATATAAACAAAATGTACATTAAATTCAACTTATAACAGCACATCATATGGGGGCTTAAGACATCTAATTCCTTAGGTGGTAAAACATGTGTACATAAAAAGGTACCAGTAAAAACAAAACAAAATTAGTTTAAACACACGCACTTAGATATTCACGGTTTTCATTAATACAAAAGATGAAGCAGAACATCACTCTCCCCTGGTTGTTTCCATAAAGAAGAAATTAACCAGGAAACATGGAGATGTCCATTGCACTCCTTTATTTTGCTTACAATGTGCAAATGTGCCTACTATGTGCTAATAAGCTTTCCATGTTATGGTTTTGTTTTTTATGTGCTGTATGCAAATGTTCTAAATGTGCTTAAATTACCATGTGCTGATGTGCTTACCGTGTTCAATGTGCCTATTAAGTGCTTTCCAAGTGATAAACTCTTTTTCTGAGCTTACAGTATACTACATGTACATACATGTTTTTATTTTATTTTTCCATGTTGTAATATTTTGGTCTCTGTTATTATACTCATGTTTTGTCTTTGTAGCTTATGTTGTATGTTTTGCAAAATGGACGTAAAATATATATTTTTGTATCTTGTACGTGCTCAAGGATTTTATCTGTAGTTTTTGGGACTATATATAGAAAAACTTTACCCCAGTATGAGGAATTGTTTTACACATTTATCATAAAACAAGTTATGTTCAGATTTCAGACAGAAGATACTCTAAAATTGTACAACTCAGAAAAGGTTGAAAAATATTTATAGTTCATTTTTTTCTGCTTAGAAATATTTAATCTCTAAATTACAAATGATAACTGTTTTAACAGGTCTAGTTTCCGAATTGGAAACCGAACCCTGTCTGACCTATTAATGATCATTAAATAAGGCCAATTAAAAGTTTAAAACAAATATTGTGTTTATGCTAACCCCACAGATACTGGACACACTAATAGTAATATGATGTGTATAAACTATGATATATTATACACACAATACTTATTGGTGTGTTCGACACCAGTGTGGTTAACCAGACTTATCTCAGATTTGTGTTCCTACAATACCCTTAAGTTTTTATATGCACTGTTAAAGTCAGAACTCCTGCTCTATATTAGCGCAGTAAAGATATTTTTCAAATTAACAATAAAATGCCTAGCTAATACATACCTACCCTATTTTTTTCTGATAGTAGAAACACAAGTAATTTGTTTGGCCTAATGTTTCTGTCATTTCATAATATTTAGAACTACTATACTTTTTTAAGTTTCCAAAACATCAAGTAGTATAACAATTGAAACTTCAATGACAGCCAACATCACAATGAATCTAATTTTTCAACTGAATGAGAAGAAATGTAAGGCCAAATATCCTCACAAACAACGCTAAAGTGAAATCAGTTTGCAACTTAGCAGTTCGAAAATTTTGCAACACGTCTGGAGAAAGACGTTCCTTGTGACGCTGTAATTCACTAGTGTAAAAAGTCCATTTATTTTGTTTGTTTATGCAGAATTACTGCTATACATACCGTTGAAGCATCTTCCTTTTTGTCATCGCCGCTGACAACATGCGCCATTCTCTGCGGCTTCGGCCGCATGCTTGGCAACAAGTCACCGAAATCGGGTTCCAGAGCCTTATTTATGAATCAGTAGTAGGTAAACGTTGCAGAAGTGTATGCATATTGTTCATTGTCAATGCTGCTTAAACAACATGCCTTATATTAAGCCAACACTCGCCTGCATTTTCGTCTTTTCCGCTTCACGTTGCGAATGATGTCTAACACGGTCACACTAATTTGCGCCATAGGAGATTTAGCGCCATAGGTGCGCCATAGGAGTTTTTGCACGCCATAGCAAACTGTAAGTGTTTTATCCAAGAAATATTTCGATTTTTCTATTGGTATACTCATTTAACATGTTTTGGTAAAGTATCATTTTAAAAAAATGTGTACTTTGTTAGAAAATCGATCTTGATTACGAAGCACTTTTACACTAATTTGCGCCATACGTGTTTTTACACGCCATAGCAAAACATAAGAATTATTTTCAGCAAATAACTGTGTTTTTCCTTATATATATGCAATAAACAGGTTGTGTTAAAGTTTCATTCTTAAAAATGTTTATTTTGTTAGGAAATCGACAAAATATTTCTTCGCGATTCAAAAGTCAATTTCAAGGGAAGTAACTCGTACATTTGCAAAATACGCCATAGCAATCAATAAGACATGACTAGTACTTGAGTGGGAAAAAAAGAATGTATTTATGCATGTAAACATGGAATAAATTACAATTTAAAATAGTTAGACATGAACAAATTTTATATTAATTTTAGAATTTATT